TCAAAAGCTTATTTTTTCCCTTGATTATATTTATAATAATCAGGGTTAGAGGGTTAGGGTATGCATTTTTCTATTGTTTTAGAGTGTTGATTTCTGGTGATACATTTAAACTAAGAGGCTTGTTTGTTTCATTTTCAGTTCAGCGAACAAGTGCCTTCTGAAAGTAGCAACCTATGCCGCTCAGCTGGAGCAGTATCCAAAAGCGATTGAGATCTATGAACAGGTGTGTAATTGCTCAGCAACAATCTTCATGTAAATATGCCATCAGTCACTTCAGGGGCTATAAAAAAAAGGAAGCGTAAAGATTTCAGCACTCATTCAGGTATAACGTTTATTGTTATATATTTTATTGCGGGTGCTTATCTTTTATTTTTACAATGTCTTTGTGGGTTGGCACTGATTGCCTTTAAAAAATCGTTGAGTTGAGCATGTCAACTCTTTGTTTGCTTGAATAACGAAACACACCGAATCGTCCTTTTCTTTTAATAGGTTGGAACCCATGCAATGGACAGTACACTCCTGAAATACAGTGCCAAGGATCACTTCTTCAAAGCGGCGCTCTGTCACTTCTGTGTGGACATGCTGAATGCAAAAGTAAGCCCGAACAAACATTGTGTGTCTCTGTACAGCAAGTGTGACACAAGCCTCTGTGTTAATATTCATCCTCTTGTCTCCCAGCTTGCTGTGCAGAAGTACGAAGAAATGTTTCCAGCCTTCTCAGACGCTAGGGAATGCAAGCTGTTGAAGGTAGGCCTCCATATTATTTCCATTCCAAAAATATTAAACATCAACATTAAATATTGCCCGAGACAAAGAGAGACCAGGCTGATAACTGAGAGAGAGGGAGAGCAGTCCAAATCAATAGACTCCTGAGATAAACCTGACAACTGTTAGTGTTACTTCTGTTTCCATCTGAGCTGCTTTCTATTGCTGCGGTCAATAAAACATCTGCTGATGGCAGGTGGTTAAACCACTCGCTTACATCAAAAAACAGAAGTGTGATTGTAATAGCCTCATTCATACAGTCACCTCCCAGTCTTCATCAAGCAGATGAACCAGTAAGCATAGTTAAGGTCTACTCCCTTAAAATCGTGTATTGACTGAAAATAAGGCTGTCAAACGACTCAAAATTATAATTGAGTTTAATCACAAAACTTCAATAGTTAATCGTGATTAATCAATAATTATTTAACCATCTTCAGCTGGGAGTACTTTGATTGCTGTTTGAATTCAACCCTGCTTTTATTTTGAAATAAGTAAAAACCTTCTGGTAGATTGAAGGTTGCGACATTAACTTTACCACAGAACAATGAACTTCTTATGTATCAAAAGCTAAATGAAAACAGCTCAAAGGGACGGTAAAAAAAAAGGAAATGTTTGATGTCATGAGGTGGACATTACTTTGGACCGGTCCACTGAGCTGTCTTAAGTTTTTTTTTTTTGTGAAAGAGAAAGTGAAAGATGCAGCAGCGTCATTATTTTCCATCACTGTGACTACAGTGGGACACTGCTGAGGCTGATCCGAGCTGCGCCTATAGGGACAGAATAGCATTCGATTAGTTGTAATTGAAAGAATGAAAACATTAATTTAGACCTTAATTAAGTCCCCATTTAAAACCATGCTGGTGTTTCACTTTTTTTTTTAAGATTTATTTTTGGGCTTTTGTGCCTTTTAATGCAGAGATAGGACAGTGGATAGAGTTGGGAAACCAGGGAGAGAGCGCGGAGAATGACATGCGGAAAGAGGCCACGGGTGGAAGCGAATCCGGGCCTCCCGCTCGAGACGACAGCCTCAGTACATGGGGCGCGCTGGTGGCGCAGTGGTTAGGGCGCGCGCCCCATTTATTGAGTTTTTCACATTTTTAAGGTCATTGTTTTGTATTGCTTACAGGAATGCAGAAAGTGTATCGTAGCCTGTTGTTTTTACACACCAGTTGTCCCAGGGTGTCTTTTTTTGTCTTGGTGCAGCTCATCTGATGCACAGTTATTGAAAACATACTTTTTAATCCCACCAGAAACTTCTAGACGCCTGTGAGGAACAGAATGTGGATGCCTATACTGATTCGGTGAGTAGAAGGTTCCTTTCAACATGTTCAGAAACACAGGAAAATGTAATAAGAGGGAAGAGACAATTTCCTTAAGCAAACCGGTTTGGAGTTATGAAGGTCTTTGTCATGGCTTTTCTCTATCTCTGAGCCCACTGCCCGACAACGTTGTAGTCTTTTGGAGCAATAGACAACTTTTTAGGGGGTTTCCTAGCAGTGTAACTGGAAATCATAGAAATGAGAATGGTGTTGAGAAACAATGCCAAAGAGGGAATAATTGGCTGCAAAAAATGCAATCCTTTGTATCTAAATACAGAAGCTGTAGAGCTCCATTGCTTTATTTATGTTACATTTTGTTGTCCTTTTGTTTAATGCAGTGGTTCTCAAACTTTTTAGACTGCGTACCATCTCCGAAAATATTTGGCTCTCCAAGTACCACCATTATGGTAGACGTTAAAATACACTGTAGGCCTATTTCAACACACATTTCATGCAAGAGGCAAATTAATTCATAAAAAGAATATTATTTATTATTGACTGCTGGCAGCCAGACTGTAGGCCTACTAAGGGCTAGCACTAGAACTTACACACACAAAAGTGCAGAACCATAAAAATGACAACTTTATACCAACAACCTGTTTGGAAATATTTAATCTCCAGTGTTTCCCACACAGACACGATACCTGGGCACAACTATATTTCCGACCTGTTCTCATTTAATTTTTAATTTATTAATAAAATTGCTGTGTGCAGATTGTGTGCTGAACTCCAATAAATAACAGAATATCTGTTAATGTAGAATCAGTGTTTCCCCTAGGTTTATCCTTAAATGACTTATTTCCCTGATTTCCGACTCTATCCACTATCCTATCCCTACAATAAAGGCACAAAAAGCCCCAAAATAATAATTTACTTGACCTTCAGGGGGGGCCCCTAATATAATGGTAGAGGAAACACTGTAGAATATCTGTTAATGTAGGCCTACATTAACAGATATTCTGTTAATGTAGATATTATGTAGATATATTAACAGAATATCTGTTAATGTAGGCCTACATTAAGAGATATTCTGTTAATGTAGGCCTACATTAACAGATATTCTGTTAATGTAGGCCTACATTAACAGAATATCTGTTAATGTAGGCCTACATTAAGAGATATTCTACAGTGTTTCCTCTACCATTATATTAGGGGCCCCCCCTGAAGGTCAAGTAAAAAAAAAAAATTTTTTTTTTCATCTGCTTGCTGTTGTTTCAGGACTGAACTATAACGGAATATCGAGTATAACTTTTCAAAACGCGAGGTGTACTCCTGTTGTTGTTTATGTCTGTGCCCGAGCATAAATTGAGCAGATTAAAGTTGTTTGTTGCAAAAACTAGATTAATTTAGAGGGGAAAACACACTTGATATAAATATTACCCAATAGATACAAGACATAAGATAAGAGTACACCACAGGGAGCCCACGTACCTCCGGTGGTACGTGTACCATAGCTTGAGAACCACTGGTTTAATGCATATCTGATCGACTAAATACTCTTTTTTTTGTGTAGTGCTTTTCTTTGAAACTAACCTGAACCTGAGGTTTCTTATAAATCCAATATAAATAATTTCTACTTTTGAATGTCTGCTCTGTAACAAACCAGAAATCATTTATTTTAAACTTTATTTTTAATTTAAAATGTTGTGTAATCATTTCTACTTATTCTCTCAGGTGAAGGAATTTGACACCATTTCACGGTTGGACCAGTGGCTCACAACCATGCTTCTCCGCATCAAGAAAACCATACAGGATGACGAGAGTGACCTTCGCTGACTTCCCCCCCTGCTCGGCCTCAAGCCCAACAACCTCCCTTCTTTTTGCCTTGAGCCTTTCACCTCAATTCTAGCAGCCGTCTTAACTCTTTTGACCATTAGCCCCTTTACTTCTTCACAGATAATGTGTTTCTGTCCTGCTACCTGCAGTATTTCTCCTTTCCCTTTTTAATCCGCTCAATTTCTGCTCCAAATTATGTTCTTCAACACTACTCTCCTGAGTGCACACAGTGTGTAAGTTGTATGTTGTTATGATACAGGTATTCGCCCCAACATAAGTTAAAATATTTTTATGGGACGCAATACGAAACATACCAGCATACTTGTATATAAAGTTTTTATTTCATTCATTTTGTTTTGAGATGGATGAAAGGATGCCTACTTACTAACACTTTGATCTACAAAATATATTTTTCAAAATGTGCTTCAAATAAAATGGACAAACCAGAATGCCAATAAATGCACTCCCATTGGCTCTTGGTACTTCTGAGTGCTCAAGTGTACTGTAAGTATACTGTTGGTCATATCAGGGTACTTCTAATTAAGCAGCATTTCATCTCAGCCGTTGAGTTTCTGTCTTAAGCAGAGACGCTGAGTTGTTTTTGGTTATTTCACAACAACAAAAAACCTCTTCCTTATTCCAGGGTATTCTCAGGACCTGAAGAGCTAGATTTGGTTATGAAAATTGAAGTATTTTGAATTGATTGCTTTCCCTCCCCCATTTTTTTTTTCCATTTAAAGTGCTTTTATTCTACAAACTAAGGTGAAAGAAGCCCATCACCTTTGTGAACATGTGCATGGTTTGGAATGGACAAGAAAACTAGAGCCACCGTTTTCCTCTGCATTGAAGTAGTTACTCACTTCTGTTGTGGTTGTCTTCATGTTTTGTCTTTCCTGTTATAACTACCCAGGCTGAAAAAGCCTGCACAAGATGCAATACATTAAAAGAAAAAGGAGCTTTACTTATCCGAACACTGTGCTCTTGTTCCAACCTTATGATGTTGTCAAAAGTTGGTCTTCAATAATTTGTACATTTGTGGTATTTGCTGTAATCGTTTCAATAAAGCTGTCAAACACCACAGTTTCCGGGGCGTGGCCTCCAGTCTGCTCTGCGTGTCTGGTCACACCACTACATGAACTACATCCCCCTATTCTATACATCAGATCACAGGTGTGCTCTCAAGCTCCCTCAGTTGCATTAGAAACAATGTGGGATTAAAATCTGAATGATTCTGTGTTGAAGAACATGTTCACCCGATGGAATATCTGAAGGCTACTGGACACTTGTTTGTTTTCCTTCTTCAGACACATGCTTCAGCCCTTTGCTTGGTCGGCGTTCAACTTGGATGTGAGTATTAAAAAAAAAAAATCGGGAGAAATAATCATCTAGACTTTTTTTTCTTTTTCTTTTTTCTGTCTATTCTTAAAGGAAGTGATAAATTGTTTAGAAAAGTATTCGAGTCATACCAATATGAAATGCACAGACCGACATAAGCATGTGAAATTACCTTTTAGGCAAATGCAGAATGTATAGGCTACGGTATCCATGTGCGTTATGCATACAAAACTGTCTAGATCTTGAAGGGATACTTATAATGGGCTTTTTTAAATTGTAAATTGACGATAATCTGTGAGGTCTCTGTTAACTGTTTATTTAGTGATTAAACCGGTTTGCTACTAATTAAACACTGGGGACAAGGAAGTGTTTCACCCGTAACCCAGCAGAGTTATCTCCTGAGACTTTTTTCAGGCAACAGGACTTTTTTTTTTTTTTTAAACTCTAAAAGAAGAAAACATTCTCTGAAAATAAGATTAAAGAAGTAGGCCTACTAATAAGGTTTTTACTTTAACATATTTGCATTAAAATGTGCTGAATGGCAGAGGGTAGCAATCTAGATGCAACCATACCGATTGAATTAAACATCTGAATCTATGTTTATTGTTTGTTTTAAACTATGTAGTATAAAGATAATTTATTTGTACATTGGGAGTGGGATGCAGCACCTCTTGTAGAAGTTCACTATTTTAATAGGTAGGGCAAATTACTGACTGGCTACTTGTTTTTAAATTAAAATTGTAACAACACATTGTGCAGTGCCTGACAGAAAATATGTTTAATATGTGTGGATATTATTAATTTCTCTGACAAGAAAATGGCAACAGGTAAGGTAAAAGTGCAAAGAGTCGACTGCGTGCCATAAGTTTAAGGAGCCAAGCAAAGTCACAGATGAGAAATTATGACTGAATAAGATTCATTTAGGGGCTGCAAACCGGCTTGTCAGTGGTTTTTTTTTATGTTTTTCTCGCGACAAGGGGGGGGGGTGATTGGAGCATCTCATTGTGGCATTGCATCATGTTGGTTGTGCTATTTGTGTAGTTCCCTGTCTTCTCGGAATATTTGCACACAGTTTTCGTCTTGTCTTGTCTCACCTCTTTCATTTTCTGTCTTGGGGAAGCCAAAATGCTGACACACATCCAATTTAAAAAACGGTTGTGTTCCTCTACAGCTGCTGAAGCTCACAATGTTATTGCGATTCATTATTCAGAGTGTGAACCTTTGAATCTATTTATCACGCTTTTTACGATGAATCTTGACAGTATGTACGGTGTTTCAGAAAACTGCCACAGACCTGAATATTTTGTTTCATAAGCACAGTTTTGTAAAACTAAATGGAGGAGTGCTTATCTCGTTTCACAGACGTAATAGGAAAGCCAGTTTCTGTGCACTCTTGCATTGTTTACTTCTTGAAAGTTTGCAAAAATAACTCATAACGTGTTTTTTTGCAGGTGCATCATTCACTGGCTGGGTCTGTGTAACCTAAAGACAAAAACACACCAGGCTTCAGGACCATCTTCCTGTGAAAGAGGATCCAGTTCTAGGACCAACACAGCACACCACACGCAGCTTCTTATTCTTACCTCGTTTCAATGAGAAAAATTCGAACCTTTAGTGCAATGATTTTTCTTGCCACGTTATTTCTGATCTTTTTCTACTCGACATTACCTCTTGAGACAATCTACAGTCACAGAGCTGCAAAAGAGGCCCTCCGGAGTCTTCCTAGCGTCCAGCCCCAGGTCCAAGATGTGATAACGAAACCTTATGAGCAGGAGAGCATTACTTCGGCTCCAGTCGATATTCAGAATGTAAATGTGTCCAAAGACTTCGAAAGCCATCCCTCCAAATGCTGCGTACTGGAACCGTCTACTGTATTCGACCCTGGTGAAGCTGGACAAGGGAGAAAATCCTTTAAGGCAAGGCTCTGATTGGCCTCGCTGCATGGAGACAAATCAAGAGCTTCTACGAACCAACCTGCACGACTTCAACTCATACCCCAACTTATTCCAAGAGTTTGTGCAGGGCATGGGCTGCAGGACCCCTCCAGTCCTGATCAATCAACCTAAAAAGTGCGTCTCTGGGAGTGGGGTGGAAGGAAATCCTATATCTCTGCTTTTTGCTATCAAGTCAACTCCTGGACACTTTGAGCAGAGGCAGGCTGTGAGGGAGACCTGGGGGCGGGAGGGGTTGAATTCGAGTGGGCTGAGCGTGCACACAGTGTTTCTCATGGGTAGCCCCCGAGTGGACGATCCTGATCTCAGCCAACTGTTGTCATATGAAGCAAGCCTCTTTAAGGACATCCTTCAGTGGGACTTTAATGAATCCTTCTTAAACCTGACACTCAAAATGTACGTGTTCCTCCAGTGGAGTCTGAAATATTGTCCTCATGTAACCTTTGTGTTTAGTGGGGATGATGATGTATTCGTCAACACGCCGCTATTACTCAGCTTCCTGCAGTCTCTGGATTCATCCAAAGCTTCTACATTGTACAGTGGTGATGTCATAAAAACAGCAAGTCCAATCAGGAACCCTCAAAGCAAGTACAATATCCCCCTGAGCTTCTACGACGGCCCTTACCCTGCATATGTTGGTGGAGGTGGATTTCTTATATCCGGAGCATTGCTGAAACCCCTTTACTCAGTTTCACATTTCATTCCTTTCTACCCCATCGATGACGTCTACACTGGGATGTGTTTTAAGGCTTTGGGAGTTTCTCCCAAGGCGCACACAGGCTTTCACACCTTTGACATCAAGGAGGGGGACCGCGAGAATCTGTGTGTGCATAAAGGACTTATTCTGACTCACAAGCGCTCCCCACAGCAGACGAAAAAGTTGTGGCGGGGCATTCACAGTCCCTTTTTGACTTGTTGAACAAGTGATTAAAGATTCGACTGTAGCCACGTATGTCTGCCTTTACTATTGTCCCTCTCTGTACTGTTTGTGGATGATGTCGTGTAGTGATGTAGTACTGTGTTGGTAACTCAATCTTTCTGGGTGAACATATGCAGAGCAATTCTGCAGGGAAATTTGAGGAAACCTGACGTCTTTTAGCAGGACTGGTTGTTATGATTGCAGGCAATTTGAGCATCAAGGACGAGGATATTCTAATTTAAATGTAACACTGGTTTCCTTTGTCATTAATCCTATTTCAATGTTTCCTAATGAATTAAAAGAAAAAGAGAATCAACAAAAAATATTTTTAATTGACACTTTATTTTCCACAAAACACCAAACGTAAAACATGAGCTAGAGAGGTTTACAAGTCTGTGTTTTATGTGTAACAGCGCTACAGCATACAAACTCAGCTAAATTGTGTTTGCACACTAAAAACCATTAACAGAGGAAAGTTATTAAACACGTTAGACATCCCAATGATACACAAGGATGCTTGTAAAAAGACCACAACCACTTAAGGAGAGTTACAGGAAAGGGAACATACACAACAGAGGTTCAAGTTCACTGGTTTATTGCTCTGTGTGTTTCTATTATTTGAACTACAACAGCCAAAGGTCATTTGTGACATTCAAATACCGTTGTAAGGTGTGTGACATTGAGCACTTCAAGAGGAACTTACAGTGTATCTATTGACTTAAGGCACCAAACCCAGAGGCATGTAGAAGATATATTTGAAAGCACAATGTTCCTCCTCTCCCTCTGTTGTGTAGGAAGAGAAAACACGTCATGTCAAACCTATGATTTTATGACTAGTTAAAAGAGTGCAGCAGGTTTATCCCAGTCTTAATCCTCTCCCACTCCCATGTTTGTTCACCACATTACCACTCGTTCCATGCTGTTCTTGCGGTTATTTGTCATAAAGGTCAAGTGGGTAGTGCTCTTTGTACTGCTGCACGTGCCTCCACATTGACTCCCTCTGCTTGGTCAGACCGGGCGTCATCTCCTGGTACACATCGGTGAACATCAGCTCAGGATTGGGCTTCTGCCTTTTCTCGGCCCTCTCAAACGCCTCCATCACCGTCTTGCGGGATTGCTTCCGCCAGCTCCTCTCGTCGTCCTCGCTCCACCAGTTGCGGGCCGTCATGTAGTGCCTCAGCCTGGAGATGGGATGGTCCTGCTTGTCCCAGTAGTTCACCTCGTCCACTGAGCGGTAAGCGGAGCTGTCGTCGCTGGTACTGTGGTGACCGATTCTGAAGAGATAACAGAATTATTGTGCTTCAGTCGGCTTTCCATACCACAACATTGAGTGTGAGTCCATTTTAAAAAAAAACAATTTCCCCTAAAATGAAATTCCCAAAAGACAAATATCCTAAAATGTTCATGAATAACCGTGCAGCAGTGTCCCTGGACTTAATGTGATGCTGAAAGCCAGAAGGTTAAAGTTGAGTTCAGCTATCAAAATAATTTGAAATGAATAATGCCACAGTTAAACCATACACTGATATTCACATGATTATCTGTTGGTTACTGACATGAATTCTGCTTAAAAGAGATGAAGAGCAAAACAAAAGTATTCATTAGTTTTTGCAATATTGAGTTTCTCTGTTCTTTAATTGTAGTTATACATCAGCAACAACGATTGAATCAGTAATGTACCCACAACAGTGACCTATGAAAATAAATCAGTCAGTACAAAAAACTATAAGGCTCACTGTGAAAATGCAGAATGATCACAAATCATCTTCAACTAACCTGTAGGTCATTGCTTCAATAAGGAATGGCTGGTTCTCAGCCACAGCCCTGCGGCGTGCCTCCTTTGTTGCATTGTAAACAGCAAACACATCGTTACCATCAACACGGATGGACAGCATGCCATAACCCGGACCACGAGCAGCTGTTCATTTCGAGAAGATTGAGACATGTTTTCATAAGAGCAGCTGAGGATTTGAAATCAGATACTGCCGATTAACGCACAAATGCTTCTTACCGATACCATCTCCCCTGTACTGCTCATTGGTGGGGGTGGAGATGGCGTAGCCGTTGTTACGACAGAAGAATATCATAGGGCACTCGAGGGTGGCAGAGAAGTTGAAGCCAGCGTGTGCGTCACCTTCGCTCGCCGCTCCCTCTCCAAAATAACAGATTACAGCTCGGTTCATGTTTTCTCTCTTGACTGCATATGCAGCTCCAGCCGCTGAAACAAACATATACGAGGCAGTAAATATTAAATATATATTTTCAAGTGCATATGTGAACTTGCATTCTGAAGAGATGAATAAAACACATGTTCATAGCTCACCCTGGGGAATCTGAGTGGCCAGAGGAGAAGAGATGGTGACAAAGTTCAAATCTTTGGAGCCATAATGAACAGGCATCTGCCGGCCTTTGCCGAGGTCGTCTGCGTTGGCATAGCACTGAGCCATGAACATGTCCAGAGGAAAACCACGGTACATCAAAACTCCTGCAGCATAGAAATGATAACAGTGTTACTCACAGGCATTCTTTATTTTTTATATTCAGGTCTAATTACAGAGTTTTTCCTCAACTGTTTATAGGTTCTTGTTTAAATTGCACATATATTTTTATCCCTGCACGGGTTGTGTACATTTCTTGTATAAGTCTATTTTAATTGCACAGTTTAAGTTTGATTCATCTACAGGTATTCTTTAAATCTTTGTTTCGGGTTAATATATATGTATGGAGGGGGGGGGGGCGGTTTTGTGGTTTAATTTGTAACAAATGTTTCATGCACATGTTCGTCTTTGTGACCTGCTACTGGATGCTTTCAATTTCCCTCGGGATCAATGAAGTATCTATCTATCTTCAGAAGTATATTAGGGGTGAACCAAAAACTGGAGGTTAATTATTAGTGAAGAGGCTATAAAGATACAGTAAAAAAAGTTAAAAGAGATTCAGAGTGAAGTGAAAATGGTTTAGAGACAGTACAGAGATAGTAGCATGAGAGAAAGGCATATGGAAGCATTTACAGGAAGAACAGAATAAGAAGGGCATACAATATAGACGGTGGTCAGCAGGATTCAATTTGGAAGTTATGCTCACACTTCTACATTTTCCTAAACCTTTCTGCACATTATAGAATTATTTTTGCACTAACAGAAGCACTAGCAAACTTTTTTTTTTTAAATAACCCTTCCTCTCAAAGCTTGCAGCATAGCTCATTTGACTTAATATCACTACTGACTATGATCGATTACTACGTGTGCTTGTTATTGCCATCTGATAGAAAGACATGACAAATACTGCCAACATTAGATGTAATTATAAAGGTTAAGGTAAGTAAACTAATAGGATTAATATAAAAGCCAATACTTACCAGCTTCTCTGTATTGACCAAAGACAATGTCACTTGGGTCAAGAGCAGCAGCGCTACCAATGTGCGTCCCCTCTTCACCATAGTTGGTCATGTAGAAAGAGATCCGACCCTGTCATAGACACTAATTAACATCCCCGAATCATATTTGAATGCTGCCACCGGTTGAATCATCAAAAGCAAGAGGGAAGTACCTGTCTCTGAGACTCGTAGAGAATGCGGTCCATTGTGTTCAGCAGAGTCATCTTCTGATAAAAATTCAAAACTGTTTCTTTGGAGAGCTGAAAACAAACACACACAAAAAAAAAACTTTTAGCCAGAAAAAAGTAGCAAGAGCTGCGGTCATTAAATTGCACTTGCGATAGAAGGTGACTGTACCTGAGGGTCTTGAGAGGGATCAATGATGTTTCCCTGCCTGTCCATCACTCTGTACACTGGGATCCCAGAGATAACATTGGGCTGGATGAACTCAAGATGATCCACAAACTCAGCAGAGGCCCCGGGAAACTGTGGCTTTTCCAGAGACGAGTCAAATGGCTGCTGCTGGTGCACGGCCTGAAAGGATGAATACAAGAATTATATATTAATACTATGACTGTGGGAGGGGGGGGGGTCATCTATTTAAAAAGAAGAGGCACGACAAAGGGGGGATTCATCTTTATGTTCACAACAAATGGGAGAGACAATCACAGAAGCAGCTCTCTGGAAATAATCTGATCCCAATCATGAAACAATTATAATAAAGGAGATCTGACTGTATTAGACCTCATTTCTTGTTTCTCAAATTTACTCTGACAGTGACAATATTTGTTTAATCACAGATTATTTTACTCTTTAACGTATATTAACAATTAAGATGATGAAGAAAATATGGCATATTATTCCAGTAGTACATTAACATTATTTCAATTTTCAAAGAACATAAGGAAGCATTTATTTGTCGTGATAATATAATGCCAGTTTATTTTATAAAGCTATGTTGTTGTTTAGTGTTAAAAATACATAATCAACATATTTTTCCTGTTCTCAGAAAACAATCCAAGGTGGGATTTTCTCAATGGCAATATGATTTAAAGACATGTCTCAATCTACACCCAAATAACATCTCATAGAAAGAAAAAAAAACAATTTCCATGTGTGACACTGATTTGATTTTGCATTTTAAATGTATTTTGGCTAGTCTAAATGTGTCAAATTGTATAACTTGTCTACATTTGTTTGTTTCTATTCACATTTTTAATCATTAATAGATTTAAATTCAGTGACAAAATCATGACCATTCAAATGTTCAATCTGTTGTTGACATCTACCTGCCTATTATAGTATAGTATCAAAAATAAGAACAATTCAAATTGGACATAGCCCTACTGTACAACAAATATAAATATTAAGTAACAGGGAAAACAAACAGGAAATTAAACAAACAAAAATGTATTTATTTAATTTATTCGTGAGGTTTCGGTTTTCAATAAATGTTAAATGTGTTTGAAGAATGATTCAGTTTTTTCTTCTGTATAAAGAGTACATTATTATTGTATTATAGTTATTTATTTATTATTTTTTAATTATAGTATTATTATTATATTATTGTAAATAGTACAAGAGTATTACTTCCTGTGGTTCAAACACGGAAGTATCCATCTCACGCCCCTGTGCTCGTCCAATCAGAAGAGAGTAGCAGGCTAACATCTCTGCCGGCTAGTTAGCTCGCAAATCTTCAGAGTCACAACAACAAACACGCGGTGCACTGAGGCCACATGAGTCACTGGCAAGCAAACATATTCATAAACCCCTAATGTGTCCAATTCGACTTCATGACATTGTCTTTTGGAGACTAATAATAACCAAGTAAGGCTTCGTTAGTATGTGCAAGGTTGTTAGCTGGCAAACATCCTATCGCGATAACTAAGGAGGGCAACGCGATCTTGTGAATACCGACTAATACTGACCTAAACAAACATTCCCAGCTCCTAACTCACTCTTAACTACTTCTTGGGGAGTCATTTAAACTATAAATGTCAAGTTCTTGTGTTAAGTTGTTATTAACCTCTCAGTTTTCAAGGCCCATCATCTCATCCAATCACTGCTGCGACCTTTCGTGTTATTCAGCTTTCACAATAAAGTTCAATATTTGCCCTTACCCCGACTCTGAAGGCTCTGTGTTGAAGCAGCCTCGGTGCCGTCTGACGAGCAGCATGGAAACACACTCCATACAGTTTGTTCATGCTCCTCACAGCCGCCATCAGGACAGTCCACAGTCGTCCGATCAAACAGGCCCGGCGCTGGATCGTCAGGAATGTTTATTCTCTGCGATGGATATTTCAGAAAAGCTGACAGGAACGGATAAAAAGGAGTTTGTTTGCTTTACATCAATCAAGAGAACGCACATGCATTCCTGTTCCTTTCTACTACAATCACACTTTGCAGGCAGACCGAATATCCACAGACAACAGTGTCAAGAAGGCCACAATACCCGTGTACATCCGGTCAAACCTTCAAAATAAAACCCAGTCTGACCAGCTATTAAAAATCAGGCTATAATCATAGATTGTAAATATTATCAATATAAAAATATATAAATATATAAAATATATTTTATACATAAAATTAAAATTAAAATATAAAATATAAAATATATTTTTATATATAAAAATATAAAATATAAAATATATTTATATATATAAAAATATAAAATATAAATATATTTGTATATATAAAAATATAAAAATATAAAATTAAAATATAAAATATAAAATATATTTATATATATAAAAATATAAAATATAAAATATATTTATATATATAAAAATATAAAAATGTAATATAATCAATAATAGGCGAGGGAACCAATATTATTACAGCTATTCACTGTTCCTAAATTAAGTGAAAGTCTGTATTCTTATTTTGGGATATTTTGGGGATACATTTGAATATTAGATTATGTTTGGGTATTTTGATTATTATTGTTTACATTCATGTGAGTTATTTCCATTCGTTTATTTTTGCTACTTGGGGCATCAGGGTGGAGTTTGTACAATGGGTGTGTCTATATAGCCAGGAAGCCAGGATGACAGGATGAAAGGGCAAGAGAGACAGCAGCGTTTTTTTGTTGTTTGTTGCCTGCTTGATGTCTCTGGATAAAATAAACCACCCTATGACCTTCAATCATCAACTGGGCCAGGGATGGGCAACTTTGGTCACGGCAAGGGCCACATTCAATGAATTCTCCCATCCAAAGGGCCAAATTGTAGTATACAAAAACGATCAATTATGAATAAATTATAAAAAAAATCAATTATGTCTCAAATTTAACTCAACATATGCCAGTAAGCAAATATTATTATGGACGTATTTCTGGTTTTCATGATTTCATGGCTGATTTTGTCACATTTTCTTCATGTTTCCATCTAATTGATATGTAAAAATTGACCTGAGGGCCACCTCGAGGGTTGATGGGGGCCGCATGTGGCCCCTGGGCCGCCAGTTGCCCACCCCTGACCTGGACAATGGACTTATTAATACATCCTGCGTAAGATTCGCCCTCTAGGTGCCTCAGTGGCTTTATTATGAGTTTGTGTTAAGTTTATAATTTGTTTGGAATTTTTGTTATTTATAGACTATAGATATCGCCACTACAAATATGTTAAACACATAGGTTATACATCACTGATAATTTGCCATCAACACATCCCCACATCTAATACCCCCTCTTATTTTTACCTCTAAATGAAACATAACACATTCATCATAAAAGTACACTCAGTTTACTGCACATTGCACATATTGCTCAAGTTTACTTTTTCTTTAAATTTTATTTTATTTTCTTTAACTTTTTTTTGTACCTTTTGCACAATTTAGAATTTATTACTGTAAATATTATTTTATTTTATTTATTTACCTTATTTTATTTTATCTATTTTACCTTATCTTATTTTATCTTATTTTGGTTGTATTGCACCGCGGGACGGAGACAAACGCAATTTCAAAATATGTCTGGCATATTTTGAAATTGACAATAAAGTTGACTTTGACTTTGATAAAATTGTACAAGCTCCAAGAAGTGCTCCTTACAATAATGCCATTTTAATATTTTTATGCTACGTATTTTGCAATGCATATATGCGCGTCAAGTTAGTTCTTGTTCCAGAGAAAGACTGTGTATACAAGCCTCAGGGTGTTAAGCAAAATATTTGTTTTACTTTGCGTTTACAGTCTGAACTTTTAGCTTGAAGGGTAAACAGAACACGTCCTTTGCGACCTGTCACAGCTTACACACAGTCTACCAGATGCAGTCATGCGGATCAGAGCATTATGATGCGGATGTTGTATTTAAGTGCACCTGATGTAACTTTTCCATTTTCTGTGGCACAGTTTCATTTATCTTCCTCAAGTGACCTGATATTTTATAGATGTAAAACCCATCCATCAGTTAAACTGAATGGACTCTATTTCGCGTATACTGGCCTCAAATTAGCGACAGAAGCCCGGCCTGCCTTTAATTCATTATATTATACTTTTTAGGTTACTTGTCACACATGGTAGCACTTAGCATTGTCATGACATTAACCTGCCATCCCAATTTATTAGTACACAAAAACAGATTGGTTTCATGTCACTGTCAGTCAAGGTCTCAACTGTTTGTTTTTGCTTCACTTGCAGCAGGATTTAATTAGGCCATCATTGCAGCCATGATCATATTTGCCTTTCTTCAGACTGTTATAAGGATTTCATTGTATCAGTGCTGAGTAAAGGTTATTGTTTGTATGTTCATTAATGTTTCAACCGTCACATATTTAGATTTTTTTTAGTTGTGTATAAGTAGCTCAGGTAATTAAAGGTTTTTCCTTCATTGAGCTTGGTACATTTTTACAAAAAGTACTGACTTTAGTCCTCATACTTACACTGCTCGTAAAGAATAATGCTGAACCATGCAGGGCTGGAAATGAGAATAGAATCTTACTCAAAAGATTTCTTCTTGACTGGCATAACACAAAAGAGGTTAGACAGCAAAGTGAATGAGCAACTCCTAACTGGTTACATAATAATGTTTACAAGAAACAAACTCCTCCAGAATCTGCCGTAAATGCTTCTCGGGATGCATCACAAAAGCACTTTGCACTTATTCAAGAGCAGAAATATTGATTTTACAAACTGAAAAGTTTATTCAAGTGACACAGACTTTATTGTGTGCCATCTTTGTGATGTAAAAATAATACAATGAACTTAACAATAACAATATCACATTATATATATATATATATATATATATCTAACATGCTTATTGTTAGATAAAACATGAACATATCTTTTAACTAGCATTACAGTGAATGTTGCTGTTGAACACATAATCAGCAAATATCAGGATTTATTATTGGTTGTCTAATTTTTAGCAGTTTTTCTGTAGAAAAATCTGCATATCGACCTTTTCTGGTAGAATGTGTGCCCTCTCCTGACTTATTGTGTCTCCTGCTGTTGAAAACACTCTCTCCCCAGGAGTAGACGACGCTTGCACACAGAGGTATGAGTTAGAGAGTTCGGACAGGAGAGCCAGAGTGGTCCGTCTCTCCCACCACCAGGCCAGAGTGTCCTGTGATGTGGGTATAGCAGGCAGTTTCCTGTACAGCTGTATCTCTTGCTGGACTCTTTCAGGTAGTGAAAGTGTGTTTTCCGCTGATGCACTGCTCTTTAGGGCTCTGTCTTCCTCCTCAAAAAGCTCCTCCAGGGCAGTTAGCCTCGGCCTTTTGGGAAGCAGAGTCTGAAAAAATGGAAATGAAGCAAAAAAATGAAAACAATGTTGATACAAGTTGGGGCGACATCAACAAATGTTTGTGTTGTGTGGACTGAATTACCTCATTTGAATACTCTTCATCACTGTCCTCGTGTAAAAGTCTGTGTTCCTCTGAGTTTGAAACCTTAAGAATAAATTAAATTAGAGACTTTGAAATGGAATCCAGAAACTGCCAAAAAAAGGCGAGTGTGTCAACTCATCAGCTTTAAATTCAACAGGAGCAGAAATTCTGAGTGTCGGAAATCGTCTGCAGTCAAAGAGGAAGAGTGTTGTCTGAGAAGTAAGGACAGCTCTCTCAGGAATAAAACAATATAACACAATACACTTAAGGACAAAGTGTAACATTGGTAAATAAAAAGGGAGAGCCGTACCTCTCTCAAGGTTGCAGCCCTAACCGCAGCCGTTTTCACTCTGCACCAAATCTCATCTGAGTCAATGCTGTTCTTGAACCTTGGATCCATAGCGCTGGACTCCTGTAGGAACTTCCAGGTAGCAGCATCCTGAAATCAAGCACACAGACTCAAATCTTTCAAGTTATTTGTGATAAAACCTGAGAAGACAACAGCCGAGTTCAGCCACATTGTGCACAGAGTCTGAGCTGAAACCTTTGGTCCCTGATTTGCTGTCTACAAATAATCCTCTTTATTTAGGATCTAAATGTTTCTCCCTTTTGTAGGTCACTTCTGAGATGCAGGGGAAAAGCTTTCAAACACCAACCACTTCTGTTCAAGGAACCCAACACACATCTCTGATAACAGAAGTATGACAGTTGCTGTTACCTTCTTACCAGTTCTCAACAGAGAGCAGAATCGGTTGATTATTGCTTCATTATTAGTAGGCCTACCCTGTATTTAGTTTCACCCTGGTTCCCTTAACATTGACGGTTTCTCCTGATGTCCCAGTCATGTACTTCAAAGTGTTCCAACAAAGCTCCAGGTACTGCAGGCCTTTACCTGCTGGATTTCTGTACATTTTCATTCACTATCGAGCTCTATTTCATCGCAATGCTTCTGCAATTACTATGAATGTTTTATAATTCTGCTATATTTTTTACTTTGTATCACATGACCTGTCAGGTGACCCCAGGGGTTGTACATATGGAGGTGAGTCTCCTCACTTGTCTGGTGAAAGAGCTAAGGCCTGAAGCGTCACATGTGGTGATAAACTTCATTAAATGCAACTTGGAGCAGCTTCTGGTGCGGGGACTCAATCGTCCTTTTAAATATTCTACATACCCTGTAACATGTGGACAGGTCAGCCCAGACTTTTTCCTTGAGTGTGGCTGTGAAGAGAGAGTCCTCGTCCCCGGGTTCAAAGTGGGCCTCCAGTTTTTTCAGGATGGGAAATATCTGACTACATGAAGGACTCTTGTCGGCTGAGACACAGAGAGTAGACGTGTACAGGGGCTTCATGGTCCTTATGAACTCCTCTGCTTTCCAGTAATCATCGTCTGAGAGCGTTTCCAGCCTTGGAATACATTTTGGAAAGAATAAAAAAACAAACAGGTTATTCTACACAACTAACAATACATTTTTTTATTACTATTACCTTTCACTTTAATCACCTCTTTTTCTCAAAAGAAGGTTTGATCTGGGGATCTGTTGTGGCGGCCTGGATGGCAGAAAACTGCTCTACAAACCTCTCCACCATGAGGTACAGTGAGTTCCAGTGTGCTTGGACATCGATTACTAAAGAGTGTCGCGGTAGATCTGAAAAACAAACACAATCCTGATGTTCACCGCCTTACATTCATGCAGTTTATCTACTTTGTGTTGCAGCCATAGAGGAAGAAAGGATCATATATATTGTACTCACTCAAAAGCTTTTGCTTCTCTTGCAGAACAGTTTGAGCTGCTGAGGAACTTTGCATTCCCACAACTGCAGCTCTAATCTTTGATGTCCATCGTACCACAGTGTTGCTGGTGTAAACCTTCTGAGCTGCTCCGTTGAGAATTTGGGCGAAGCATCTCAGCTTCCTGAACTTCAGTTTCTTTATGTCTCTGTCCACACTGAACGCATTATCCACTGTCATGGCAACAACTTTGCCTCCGACACCAAACTCCTTCAGTACAGCAGCTACCTGCTCGGCCACTGCTGTGTCTGCCTGAGCGTCGTAAACCTGGTTAGTACGCAGCACTTTATGCACCATCTGGCCTTTTGTTATGAAGTGCAAAGAAACTGTCCTGTATTGGTCACGGTTAACACTTGACCACCAGTCGCATGTCAATGCAGCCTTAGACACGTGCAGCAGCTCTTTCATGACACTTTTTTTCTCTGCAGAGAACCATGAAGGAATCAGTTTGTTTGTGAGCTGATCTCTGGAAGGCAGGCAGTACTTTGGGTTTAGCACTTCTGTCATCTCTCTGTGTGAGATAGGAAAGATAAAACGCAGCTCATCAGAGGAAGTTAAAACAACATCAGAAAAGCCAAGGTCAAAAATACAAAAACCTACCTGAACCACGGTGACTCTACTGTCGACACAGGATGTAATCCCTTAACAAGAAATCTGGCCACAGCTCTGTGACACTCGTCTGTTCTTTCTTTAGTTAGCCTCTTTCTTTCAGCCAGAGAGAAGGAGGTCGAGACGGCAGACGCTGCGGCTTCTTTCAGTTTATCGTCTAACTTAGATTTATAGCCGGGACTTCCTGTATAAAAATAGTAGAGAAGATAACTCACCTGAACAGTCCTGCATAACATGACCTTACATTTCAAATGAAAATTATGTGACAAAGAAAAATGTCAAACAGTCTTTTTGTAAAAGAAATCTCATCTTTCCATACCAAAGAATCAAAAAGAAATCACCCCTTGCTGAAGCCCGAGCTGTAATCATTAAAAATAACATATTTCTAAAAGTAGATTGAAGGTGTTGGATGATGATGCATCAGGTTGTAGATGCTTTGACTGTTGCACTTCTGCTCTGTGACACAGGACATGTTGACCGGTGTTTGTAAATTATTGAAGTGTTGGATGTCTAGAACTTTGTTCAAATGTGCTGCTGCGTCGTCTTGTCCAGGACACTCTTTGAATAAAATAGATTCTTACAGTCGATGAGGCTTTAGCTTGTTAAATACTCTTTTAATAGAATAGTTAAGAAAAAGATGCTTGTTATTTCTAACCAATGGTGTTAAACCGCTAAAGAGTCACATTGCTATCACTCAAGTCAAAGAATATCAGCACATTCTCATGATGGAAAAATATGAAAAAGACAATCAATGTTGTTGTTTTTTTGATGATGATCAATAAATGATTTATCAAAAGAAGGTTCTCTCTTAACTTCCGTTGTGTGAAACTGCAAATGTCTTCATGTAACTTTATTGTTACAAAGAGCAGCGTGAATTAGTCAGCTGCATGAACAAGACTTTGACATTTTTCTCAGTGTGTTTAAAGTAAATCTTGAGATAATAACAGGATTATCTCGATGACTTAAAAAAACAAATCAATTTGCAAACTGTGAAAATGTCAAATTGAGTCACTACAAGTTTTCAAAGTACACTTACGAGCTTCCAGGCTGCTCGATATGATCTCCAGGCACGCTGAATCCCAGAAGTCGTCTGCATTTACTTCTCCAGTGAAGGATTCAGGCAAGTCCTTGATCTCAATCCCTACAAAAAAGTGTTTCTGAATTACTGACCAGATGGTGTGGGATCAAACACATATTCTTCTGTTCACCTATCAGGTTATGTATCAGTATTCATTGCCAGTGCATGAAAACCCAGAGATGCATGAAATGCTCACCTGCCATGTTGAAAACGCCTTTTAGATAAAGATCCATCATGACCTCAGACTGACAGGTGTGACTTGTAAGAGCTTCAAAGTGAAGGTACGCCTGAAGCACCTCCAAGCCACATGAAGACTTGACACCTACTGTCCGCTCCAGCACCTCCACTCCACCATCAGCAGCGTGAATCTGAAAAGGCCAAAAAGCATTTCCAAGCAATAAATTCACAATGATGAAACAAATACATAAAACCAAAAGCACGTTTGCTTCTTTCATGGCTTACCTTGATGGAGTTTTGCAGAAGCATGCACAGTTGCAGACTCAGGATTATGTGGTTGTTGTAGTTGTGAAGCCCCTCCCCCCATTCCTGGTAACGGTAGACCATCTGACAGTCTGGACACTTTCTGGAAAGTGTGGAATTATCTGGAGAACGTAAAAAGATGTGTTAGTGTGGCTGCCAAAACAACAAACAAAAAATCAAAATAGACCATAGATTAACTTGACAAACCTTCTGTCATTCCTGTTAGAGTTATGACTCTGGCTTTGTTGGTGATCAAAACCGGTTCTGATAAGAAGACGTCACCCTGGCACACCTGGCAGACTGTTTCAGATGGAACCAAATGCTTTGGAAACCGTGTTTCAGGCTCCAACTGGTCGATGTCCCCTGGAAACATGTTGGGTAATTTCTTTTGGTTGTAAATGTACGCCGCCATCTGTTTGAGGCTCCTCTCCAGTGGAGGTTTCTGTGGAGGTTTCCACAGGTGAGTCGTCTATCAGCTCAGAAGGGCTCATGGGTGCGTCTTGTTTCGCATTAGAGGATAATAAATCTTTCTTGGTTTGGAAAAGAAACCATTTGGCAAGACATCTGTGCAAGCAGGGAACCCTACCTCGAGAACAAACACAATGCCAAATCCTTCCTTTTAGAGTAAAGGTCACAAATAATCGACCCAACTTGCTGCACTGGGACATGTTGGCTCAAACACAGACAAATACAAGCAATGACTTCCACCGAGATCCACAAGGGCGACAAGTGGCGCTCCGTTCTGAGAGGCTATGTCACGATAGTTAAGGCACTTGGCAGCCATGTCCTTTCCAATCCGTTTATCGACAGTCAATTCCTGCAACAGCTCTGGTTTCAGGTCCACTCTGTTTGCGCGAGTTAAACAGAAATCCACAGAGCGTAGATGAGGACACTGGCTCTCGGGCAAGTTGCTCCGCTTTCGAAAATCTGAAACGCTCTTGCACCGATCCTCTTCGCACATCATGTTGTTTGTGCTACTCAACCTCTGTTTGATGACGTGCAGAGGTACGGCAGTGGCCTTGTACGCCTTTGCTACAGCATACACACTGTTATTCACGTCAATACACTGACTCTTAAGATGGTTTTTGGCTGTTATGTCCCTTTCAGAAATTAAGTGTTTCCGAAGATTATGTATTCTCAGATTCTTTGGGTTTAAGTAAAGGTTGCACAGCGGACATTTTATTTTTCTCCGTACCGTGCCGTGTATTTGTCCTGGTGGCTTCATAGGGTTTTCTGTTGGAGAAGCAGAGTGGACTGCTGGAGTTGTAGGCTGAACGGGTAAGTCAGGCAAACCAGCAGGCTGGAAAGCTGTAGCTGGGGGGACAACAGCTGGAGAAGGACACTGACCGAGTGTGGATTTTTGAGGAGTAGGAGACTTATCTGAGGTTGACTGAGGTGTAACAAGAGGCTGAGGTGGAACAGGGCGCTTATCTGCCAATGGTTGTGGCTGAGCAGGGGGTTCAGCTGGACCAGGGGGGTGACCTGATGTTGGTGAAACAGGAGGTCAGAAGAAGCAGGAGGTTGTCTTGAGGTGGATTTTGGCTGAGCAGGGGGCTGGCCTGATGTGGACTCTGCTTTAACAAAGGGTTTAGGGGGAGCAGGATTCTGTCCCATCACGACAGTTTGCTGAAGAGGGGCAGCGAGGTTGACCAGGAGGATGACACGTTGACCTGCTGCAGAAACGGGCTGAGCAGGAGTCGAGGGCGGAATTGCAGCCTTAACACGTGTCAAACTTTGCATCTCAACACAATTGTTCATGTGTCTTTCAAAATGTTTCCGGGTCATGATCGTCCTGGGACAGTACGGACAGTGGAAATGTCTTTCTCTTCTGCACTTCAGCTGGCAAACATGGATATTGAATTCTGAAAAAGGAAAAAAAGAATTCATGAAGGCGAAAATATTATATTATTAGAGAGATATAGAGTTTAAAGTCTGACCTCCATGTTTCAAGGCCCTCATTCTGTGGATTTCAACGTGTGTCCAAACATTTGCATATTCTGCTTTCGGCTTGTAGACCGACGCCTGGCAGAAGGGACAGTGGTAAAGCTTGCACGTTTTGCACAACTCCAGACGCACGCGGCCATCCGACTGCTTTCGCACTGTGATGTGCAACCTAAAGACAAACAAACAATTCACCAACATGACGGTGAATGTGGCTGTATTAGATATCATAGAGGACAAACTATGAATAGTGTTGTGAAACTGGAGCAGGGAACTCGATTGGTTTTCTCATTTGAGCTTGAATCAGAGTAAAGTTTAGTTCTTGACTCTGGTTTGGTGCAGATACTCTACAGGTGTGTGCTTTGTTAGGTGTCTCATCTGGGCTCTGTTATAGTGATGTAATGCATGCAACAGGGTCGTTTTGCCTTTATGTAACTGTAAGCAAAGTCATCTACTTTTTTTTGGCATGTATTGTTTTTTTTGAGTGAGTTGGTTTTCTTTTACGTACACAGTTTGAAACTACATAACTGTCCTGAAAGGTGGTTTCCAGTTACTGATATGTCTCGATAAGCTTTATTTCCACAAGAGGCCCAACACACATTTTTAACTTTATATTTATTGCAGATGCAAGAAACTCTGATGCCATTACTTTTGGCTCTTAAGATTCTAAAAATGTTGTCAAAACAGAATCATTGTATCTTTGTGATATCAAAACAAATGCTCCTCAGCTTCCGCCTTCACAATTGCAATTATGTTTTTATTATGACGTAGGCTAAGACAAAAGAGATACACATATTTGGATAAAACGACACAGACTATAAATGTATGCTTAATCAGGGGCAGTTGAATTAGTTGACTTGACTCTTAAAGCAGATAGATAACATTAGCATTGAGTGTTCTTCAAATATAAATACTACTCAACAATATCGTACAACGAAAGGTGAAAACAGTTTATTATTAATTTACATTGTAGCCCTCCAAACACTCCTCTTACCCTCCAACACGCCCAGAAATGTCCTCACACGCCCCGCACTCCTGCGCCATCTTGGCTGCAGGCTCCAGACTCAGGCTAAATGATAATGCTCCTGGTGGGATACTTCAGGGCTTGTGTCCTTTTTCTATAAAGGTTGAGGGGTTCAGCTGAGGTGGGATGAGGCAGAGGACTCGTAACAGGGGGACATGCAGACCAACTTCAGGAAATGTCGGTGCCTTGGTCTGCAGCAGTGCCCTCTAAAGGCTCTGGTCTGCAGGCTTCTGTTGCTGTCAGAGGGTATTTAAGCCCTGAGAACAACCTGACAGGAACAGTCCCCTCAAGAAATCCCATTCCCCTTTTTTACTACTCTGTCTATATGGATGTTTTAGGCCATGTGCTGTGAGTAGGTTAATGAGCAGGAACTATACAATTATTAATCGTACTAAAAAAAAAAAAGTTTTTACTTTTCCAAACTGGAGACTTTGTGAAGAGTTTGATTTTTCTACTGCTGGTGCCTGAAATGCTAAACTCAGGCTACAACGACTACGAATAACTGTATTTGCTGTTGGGCTTTACATACTATGAGGGACAAAAAAATGACTAAAGTATAAATAAATAAATAAACGTTGGGTGAAATGCATACAATAATGTATAGATAAATAAATAATTAAATAAATGCATCAATAAATATAGAAATAAATATATAAATGCTGAAAACAATACACCAATGAATAAATAATAAATACACTTTGTTAATGAAAAAGGCTATTTATATATTTTTACATGTATTTATTTATTTATTAGTGTATTCCTACAGTATATATGTATCAATGCATACATTTCCACATTAATTGAGTTATTAATTTATTTCCGTATTTTTACATTTACACATCTATTTATTTCTGTGTCCAGGTCGTAAGAGGAAAAGTAAATTTGCTTCTGTCTGTTTTTCAAAATTATGTAATGGATAGCCCACTTGATTTACATATTTACTTTTCCTTGTACAACATGGACACAGAAATACATAAATAAATATATGAATATATTTATTTATATATTAATTTTTATATGAATTGTTGCATATATATATTTATTTAATTATTTATTTATTTCTACATTATTGTATGCATTTCTCCCAACATTTATTTATTTATACCATAGATTTATACTTTAGTCATTTTTTGTCCCTCATAGACTGTATATATATATTTCCCATTTTTTCATAACTATATTAACATCTAGAGACAATTATAAATGTATCGCTGCTGAGACTAGGGCTCCGCTGTAAAATGTATATTTATTATATTATTATTTATTTATTTTTACAGTCTATGTGTAAAACAGGGTGACGGATTACGCTGTCCCTTAAAACAAACAGGTTTACTGCCCTCTTGTGGTCACAATGAGGAAGTGCAACTCGCTAATTTCGTCAAATTTACGTCAATAAAACATAGATATGGCTAATTTTAACGGCAACACCTTGTGGCTCAACCCATCATTTTTTACGAAGTAATTAATATACATTAATTTTTGAGGTATCAATGTAACGTAAACGAATTAGTTCCTAAAAGTCATCAACCAGGGCCGCGGTAGGTACTACATGGCAAAACATATGACGTCATTCAACCGCGACATACACATTTCTTTTCCCCCCACAGAGAAAGCAGCATGATGGAGGTGTGCGGCTCTTCAAATGTTACTATGAGGGAGTTTGGATGTGAACAGAGTTTGTTGTCTCGTCCTGACGGTTCAGCGTCCTTCATTCAAGGTAACTAAACCAGGTGAAAACTGTCTGAGAGTCGATGTTCTGCGCTGCAGGGTCGAGAAATGCGACGACTGCAGATAATGATGAATGATAGCAGAACTACACAAGTTAAGATCTGTTGACTTACTGCTCAGGTTTCAGAGGAAGCTGTTTCAATAGACAAACAGTCTGGGGAGCAGAAACAAGTTTTATAAGACACAGCTTCAGTCAGAGCTTTATCAAATCTGTCACATGTTGGATTGTGTTCAGTTTACTGTAGTTCATCACTTCATTCAGTCATATTTGTTCAATTATGGAATCTGGTACATGTAGTTCTGTCAATACATTATAATAAATGAACCTGCCTTCTCTTTCAATCAGAATCAGACTCAGAAATCAGGGTTTATTGCCAAGTACATTTACACACACAAGGAATTAGACTTGATGTATTTGGTGCTCAACAATTAACAAGGAAATAAAGCAGAACAGCAACTTAAATAATACAGAATAAGAAGATATACAATATGTAAAATATAATTTAAAAATGTAAAATATAAGAACACAAAATGTACAAAAGGTGTGAGAAAACATCTCAGTGTGTAACTGCTCACAGAGATGTAATGAAGATACATTTTTAAAGTCTCTAAAGCGTTCCCATTACTCTGATGTTTCACAGACTGTGGGGCTGAGGAGAGTCGGGGGGTTATGTGGGAGGAGGGGCAGGGACGTTGTTCATGATGGGGAAGAAACTGTTCCTGTGGCGAGAGGTTTTTGGTCTTGATGGACCGCAGCAGGGTGAGAGAGGGGTCGGCCACAGTCTCACCTGCACCACAGTGTGAACTTCATCTTGTTTCCCTAAATTGGAAGAAGAAGGAGATCACGTATGTGGTGCCACTTCAAGGACTTGATTTGGTTGTCACAAATATTATAATTGATCTGTTGGGTTATAATATGACGTGTGATTAAAATGTCAACCATCAACATAGGGCTGGGAAACACATCCAGTTTTTAAGATATGTCGATGTATTTTCAAACAAGATGTAGGTAAGACGATATCGTTAATGTGGATATAGTTTATGTGGCATTAAAATAGCGTTACAGAGGTGCCAGGTTTTTCCTCACCTCACTGATGATGACTCTGCTCCTCCTCTCTCTCTTTTATTGTATTGAAGGAACATTTTTCGTTATAATTTTCCTTTTTAAATTCACAAACAGGTAGTTTATTTTTCCATGTGTTTTCACTGTTAATAAAAAAAACATATCGATATATATCGAGTATCGCCATTCAGCAATCAATATCAAGATATGAGTTTTGGTCCATATCGCCCGGCCCTACCATCAACACAATTATACACCGTTTGAACTTGAAGAACTACAAACATGTCCTCAAAGGTGGTTTCCACTTCATGAAATCTAGAGTGTGTTGTGAATTTATATCCTGAAGAAAGACACCCACAATGTGTAAAAACCTGTGAGGTTGTGAGTCCTGTTTGGTGTGAACAGGTTGATTATGCTAAAATCTGCAGTCGAAATTGAGAGCAACAGTGACAACATCACAATCTTCTTTACTGCATGTAATACATAATGAAGCACATAAACTCAAGTCAAACCTTTGCGTTCAATCTTCAGTGTGTTAGTGTTATACCATTTAATATCTTTACTAAATAACTTAGCAGAGCTCAGATATAATATTCATATACAATGATATGCTACAAACGGCACTATGTGTTCAGATCTTTTCATGTGATGTTACTGTGGAAACATTAAAGATTTTAGGTTCTGTTGAATTATGTCTCAGTTTAAGCCTTTCTTTAGTTACAGTGAAGTTTTTTCTGAAGTGTAACATATTGACAATCTTTGATATTAATATTCTTCAAATAAGTAGCTTTATTTTTAAAGTTAAATACATGAGCGCAAACTTGCCAGAAAGCTTTAAAGCATTTTTAACTAGACAAACCAATAACCTACACCTATCAATGTGTCGTACATCTCGAGGACTCAATAAGATGCCGTGGAGTCAAATTATGGAACAAGCATCTCACACGCTCACAATTGTGTGCAAGTGTTGGGCTTGAGTAAATATTTAAACTCCATAAATATTTCTGCACCATTTGATTTGTGTTGTCACTACAAATCAACTGCTAGCCTGACAACATTTAACATTTTGAGGTACTTTATATCACTGCTTTAAAGTTTTACCCTGCATCAATTAGGAAAATATATGTTTAGGTAAAAAAACAGAAGTGTATATAAAGTAATGCACATCAGCCACATCTTAGTCAGCTTCAACATTAAACTAAATAACTGTTAATGATCTATCAGCGAAATAATACGCAGAAGTATATTATTGTGATAATGATAATCACGCAGTTAAAGGACTCTCATATTTGAGTTAAAATAACACTGGTTCATTAAAATACTAAAATATTGAATGAAATTGACATTTAAAGAATACGTTACTTTGGTGTTGTTCATTTAAAAATACAAGATCTGATTACTTCTTCCACATTTATTTACTTGATGATTTTTTTTTGTCTTTTTCTAGATACAAATTGAGACTCAGAAATGTGTTGATGTCAGAAAGATTTGTAGTGAATAGTGAAGTGTCCTGATTTTGTTATATTGTCTACATACTGTGTGTCCTGTTTTGCTCTATTTGTTATGTTTTCAATGTTTGTATGTCATTTTCAAATTGGGTAAATTTTATTTGTGATAGTAAATATTCTTACTTTGTTATTTTTTTTACTGTATTTTATTTTAACTTAACTTAAGGACACTGTTTAATCTCTTAAGGTGAGGTTTTGAGATAAGCCCTCTTGGGTTTCTCCCTCACCTGCACATGTGTTTTATTTTTATTTGTTTTAATTTCCTGTTTGACTCTTCTTTCAAAAAAATGTGCAAATAAACTAAACTAAGTGAGGGAACCCAGGAAACTAAAGATAAAGTTAAGGGTTTACGGAGGCCAAATCATTTTTAAATTTCCACCTTGTCTACTTCTGTTGTGCTGCTATACCCCAACACACCACCAGGTGGAATAAGAGAGTTAGTTTGTTTCCAGCCTGAGTCAAGTATTTACCCCAGTGTTTTTTGTCATTAGGTGTAAGGGAGCGATCGCAGGAGCAGTGTGTGCGAGAGACCTGTGAGGCATCTCTGCTCTTGTCCCTTCATCCCCGCTCCTCCCTCACTCTCATTCTTCAGGTGTTACATGACGACGGTTCAGTATCCTTCAGTGAAACTCTCTGCTGCTGCACTGTGAACTCCATTAAACATGTAGACTGTATGATGGTGTCCTGATGGTGTTTCTTGGCGAGTATACTTCCTTACCTGTTCCCCAGCTGCTGTCTTGCTCTCTGAATGCGGCCTGTATGGCTCTGATGGATGCAGGTCTGCCTATGAGTTGCCTGTTTTGTGGAGTTACCTGTGCCATCGACGCAGACGGTCAAATCATCACGGACCCCACAGCAGCACAGGAAAAGGTAAATATGAGCCTCGTGTGTCGAGTTGTAAAAAAAAATGACACAAAAATACTGCAGTTATACTTTTTAACGTTTTTCTAGGCCAGTCTACTTGCTAGTCCTCATTTTGTGCTCAATTAAGCCTCCAAACTCGTTCTACTTCATCTCGTAAACTATAGATTTTAAGAGTCAAAAAGCATTGTAGAAATCTCACAGACAGAGTGTTTGGTAAACTAAAGACCACATACAACAAAGACTTCAGTAGATTATTATTCAATGACTTATTGAGTAGAGTAAACTTCACAGGAGAGTCCTCTGATTATTTGCATGTCCTCACTGTGAAGGCAGAGCTGCTGCTGGTTTGATCATCTCTGTTTTCCTTTCTCGTCAGGAAAGTCGAGCTTTGATGACCTTTGCAATCGACAGCAAAGAATGCCGAGTGTTGATGTCGGATACCAAAGGATCATTTTCAGTTAACGAGGTCAGTAAAAATCTCATCAGTAAAAACAATACCACTTCATTTTTCTGATTTATGTTTGTGTTGATCTCTGATGCATCAGATTTCAGTTGTATTGATATCACAGACGTTTCATGTTTTGAGGGTTGATCTCTTCTTCTTGTTCACAGCTGCAGCAGTGTATAGCAGTCAGTCAGAAAGCGTCACAGAAGATCTTCCAGTTTTACAGAGACTCCGTCAGCCGTCGATACTCCAAAAACCTCTGATGAAGAAGATGATCTCTGTTTTTTTTTTAACAAATACTGATTTTGTAATAAATCATTGAGAAGTTGCTTTGGGCTACCTCTTCTTCAGTTCAGATGTGTGTAGTGAAGCTGTGGGTGATGTGATTATTTTTTTTTTGTAAGAAGACCACATTGAGCTCGAGTCTGTCGGGGTGTAAAATAAAAAGAGAGACCTTGAATGTCAAACAAGTGCATTTATTGGGATTTTCTCTCAGTTTAATATTTACATGTAATACAAGGATGTCAACTGGGTAAAAACGGAGTACCTCTTGTATTAATAAATCTAATTTTACCAGAGCCTTTGACCTTTATCCCCTTGAGAGATTTGTCCATTTCACCTCTTCCAGTTGTTGTCTGTACAAAGAGACACATCTGCACAGAAACTGTCTCAAGACGACATGATCAGTCAAGTCAAATCCACGTAAATCGCTCCCTTTATAAATGAGTACGGGTGGTAACTGCTGTAACAACAAAAGGGTCATTTTATTTCATTGACACAAACGCCTGGTGGAGACAGGATGGTTCAGGATTGTCAGAACTCTATATGATGCAGTGTGTCGGTGCAGCTGCATCACAGGACATCAACAGTGATAGCTGAAGAGGGTCAGACACTTGAGATAACAGAGGTGTGTCTACTAACACCACGTCGAGTGATCAAAATCTACATCCTGCTTAGTTTTGATACAACACTGAGTTTGCAGAGAACAAATGATTTGATCTGAGTTAATTGAAGTCAAGCTGTGGACTCTATAAAAACTATACATCTAAATAGAAAATCTCAACTTCACCGTTCAGTCCTTTTTAAAATATTTATACTTGGAGATCTCCTGTTCACAGTTTAATGGCACATTTAAGCTCAAACCAACGCGGCCAGAGTTTTTTTTTTTTCTTCTCCTTTTAACAAAGCTGTTGATGCAATACTTTGAGGCCCAAGTTAGGGAAGTGACTGAAGCCAAACACTAAGCAGGTCTGTGCATGACAAACTACACACTTGCCATGCACGTATGTATGTTGTTGTGGCTGAAGAGGAGATTTTACTGACTCATGCATCACACAGCTGAGCATTAGATCTCTTGTTTTTTGTTTTTGCGTCATACTTTACCCAAACTCATTTGGAGAAGAAAATAAAGGTGATATTGTGTTTACATAAGTTTATGGATACAGCTTAATTTTCAAGTTTCTCAGAGTGCAAAGTAGCACGTTTTTTTTTTTTATGAGGAGAAAATAGCAGAATCTAAATTTGGGGAGTGTGAAGTAGCAGCCTGGTTTGCTTCTATTAATGGAACAGCTGATAAAAGGATCATCCTTAGAGTTTCTTCCGTATTTTTGGCACTTTTCATCACAGGTCTGCGCCCCTCTGTCTATGTCAACATTTCCCATCTATGTATATAGAAGCAGCTCCTTTATTTCTAAAACTAGATTCACTGTTTTCCATCTTAACCTTGCTCCCAAACTCCACCTCTATACTTATTTTCTTACAGAATGGCACTATATGTATTTTAAATGTACTTTTTTTTCCTGTATTTCAACATAAAGATAAATATCAAACTTGTCATAAAGAAAGCTCAATCAGTCCTTTCTGCAGGTAAACAATAACAGGTGCTGAATAAAATCAGGATGTATTGATTGATGTACAGTACATGTGCAACGTTTCCACGAGGTTCTCTCATTCTGGCCAAAGCAGTCGCAAGATATTCTGAGTTCTCTGAGAGAGTATCGCTTCTGGCCCCTTGATATTTTAAAAGCTAAATCTCTCAAACCGTCACCAGCTTTCACCCCTGAGAGTGACAGTGCGAGCTCAGGCCCCCCTACAGCGAGGTCCATCAGGATTTAGCCGCCGTTGCGTCCTTGCCGCGACCTTCTCATAAATCTGCAGACTCCATTGTCGTTCTCTGCCGTCAGCTATCTCCTCATATCTCCTCTCTTCCTCAACTGCCTCTCGATACTCATCAGATGTCATTGTGACAGTGATATATACAGTGTTGTGATAACATCTGCATTTGTTGTTGTACTTTTTTTTTTTTCTTTTTTTTTTTTTAACACCACTAACACGTAATGACAACTACAACACAGATTTAAAAGGATGGCAGGTTACTTGAGTCATCGGGTGACAAAATGAACCACATCAACACACTGACTATCCTATATGGAGCGATGTTGCATAACTTATCTTTTAATAATCTGTCTAAACGTGTGTGGGGGCGTCCGCCGAGCTGAATTATTCCTTAATCAAATTAGATGTGATTATAATCTCTGCAGCAGCTCCCCTCTTGTGTTTCCTTTCCCAGCTCGGTGTAGATAAAAAACATGACAGCAGATATGGTCGACAGACAAAGACTGTGAATAACTTCCATAAACAGGTGGTGTGTTTGTTGTGTGTTAGATGTTCATGATATGTGTGAATGATCTGTTTTTTTTTTTGTGTTTGGGATTCCTTTCCGATGAGTTGCTGTTACGGTGGTTTTCCGGACAGGTAGGAGATCAACGCAGCGATGGCACAGATGTACGTTATGATTCCGAACACGATGGAGAGCACTGAGAGCCATAGAGCCTGGCGAGATGCTGCGTTGGCCCCCTGAAAATCCCCCTGAGCCGATGCCTTGTTGGTCTGAGAATCGGAGGAGAGAGGACAGTGAGATAAGGATTATAGGAGGGGGGGGGGGGGAATAGGAGAGAAAGGGCATTCATCATCATTTGTCAATGTCCTCCATGGCCTCCACTTTCCTCTTCCACTCATTCCAATAACACACTAAGCCTGTATTATGTCCCATCTCTGAATCACACCCAGCACTTGTGCCTCATTCATCACTTCCCCCCTCCTCCCTTCCCCTCTCTCCCTCTAGTCCTTGTCTTTGACTCTGACCCCTGTTTTAGGAAGCACTCAACAATATTGGAAATCTATCACCTTGGGGCTTCTAGTTATGGCTCTAATTAAACCTTAATGAAGGCCATTGATTTGATCAAAAGGCCTTTGCAGCTAGCTGCCAGTTAGCTTTTGCAAAAGTGTTAATGGGATTCTTCCCCTGCACTGCTGGAAGGATGCCTGCATACACTAAGGGCCTCTGGTGGCTGGAGATAGAGATGTTTGGGAATTGTCCACACTTGCCAGTGGTAATACTGACTGATGACATCATTCTTTGCAGTGGTGCTGTTTTCCTTTGTCCTGCTACTGATACTGGGTATCATCAGTTTCAGGATGATTTTTCTCAGCTGTTATAATAACACGTAGTAATAGGAAAATACTTCACTGCATGTGCATTTTTTTTTTGTATTTTTTGTGGTCAAGCATACTCTTTTAAAAGTCAAGACAGAAGTTTCTTTCAGCTTGCATGGTGATGATTCTTCAGATACGTAGCATGATTCCTGTGTAGTGTTATAAAAATAAATGTGTTGGTTTTTTTTATATTGACCTTTTTGCCTTTATTTTAGACACAGGATAGTGGACAGAGCTGGACATCGAGAAGAGAGAGAGAGAGAGAGAGAGAGAGAGAGAGAGAGAGAGAGAGTGGGGAATGACATGCGGGAAAGGAGCCTCAGGTCTGATTTAAACCCATGAAGCCCGCTTGGAGGACTACAGCCTCTATCCATGAGATGCACAAACTAACCACTAGGCCACAGGCATCCCATATTGGTTTTTTTTCAGGAGGGCTTGTTAGATTCCTCACTACATTATCATACAAAATAAATGATATACTCTGGCATTGGATATATGATTCTTATAAGAAAGAGATAGCACGTATGAGACAGACTGGGGTCACTAATACAAAAAAAAAATGCTCCTTATAATTTGTTATTAACAATGTCTTGACAAGTATTCCTTTGTTTACATCAAGAGTAGGCTTAAGTGGCAATTGGTCGTCCCTAAATCAAACATCAAATAAGAAAAAAACAACTTGTTTCTGTCTTGCGCTTTGCCATTAAAAAGCTGATTAAAGATTATTGCCTGTCAACCTGAAAGAAATAACCTTAAGATGTTCACAATGTCCAGTGTGCCAGTTGTCATTTTTGAGGAGTCATGAAAGATTGAAGATTACTCATAATAAACATCAACACTGATTTGTGATTCTAGGTGACACTTAGATATCTAAAAAAAAAAGCTTCTGAACAAACATTCAGTCTAAAATAAGACACAGGAGGTCGTAAGAGAGAACTGTGATTCTAAAAATAAATCAAACGTGTGAAATCAACGCTGCACATCTTTGTAACTTCCTCCTGTTCAGCTGTGTGTTGTTTCAAAAGCTCTGTTGGCGTAATCCTCCAAATCCAGTTGTAATCCCAACCTGTCTCAACTCTTAGACACTTGACCTGTTGGAAGTCTACACACACTGCGGAGGTTAAGAAATCACCCTTGGCTGTGAAATACAGTGCCAGGATGTATTGTGTCAGCTCAGGACAGAGTGTGTGTGTGTGTGTGTGTGTGTGTGTGTGTGTGTACCTTCTGTGATAGGTAGAAGGCAGCGATGCCCAGGGGCCAGAAGCAGCAGAGCATGGAGAAAAAGGCCAGACCCAGGTAGTCCTGAGGGATCATCAGAGGGAAGTTGCTCTCGCTGTCTGTATCACTGAAGTCATCAATGGATGAGTCCTGGGATTCAAACAGAGTGCACTTAGGTTCAGCTCAGGTTAAAGGGTGTGGCGTCACAACCCTAAAGAATCAAAGCTTAGTCACTCAGTCAGCTGATATGTCAGTTTTAGGTTATCCCTTTAAAAAAGAAAAAGAAAAAAGAAGATGCATCAAACAAACACAGACAACGTCCTCTCACGCGGAGTCAACGTTTTATATTTGTAAGACTTAGCTGGTGTGGTAAGATAATGTGACTGAATGGGGTTAGTCTGGATGTGCACTAGCTCTGCTGACCGCGGGCATTTCATGACTCACGTGTCTTTTTTGTAACAGCTGCGTATTCAATCCGACTTCCTCTCTCATGCCAGCCCTGTCATATCACTGAGCTCGTTTTATTCTGTGCGTGAAATAATTACGCAATTTAAAAAGATGCTCCTGTAAGATTTAAGAAAAGGAAAAAAAAGCTTTTCTTTCTCTGCTTTTAATCACCCAAGAAGATCTTACAGGTACTCTTACAGTACACTAATATTATAAATAAGATTAGTTCAAGGGGTTACACTGAATGTTTCTGACTGTAAATTCACACATTTGTTCTGCTAGTCTGAGAAAATTCTCTCACTTGATCAGTGTGAGAATCGAGCAGTCTTGTTTTTGACTTGTTCTCATATATTAGGAGTGATCTTCCTTCAGCATTTTCTGTTGTTGTGAAGCAATGCTGATCGCTATAAGAAGAAGGAAACTCCTGAATTTAGCCAAATGTCAGATACACATCCTGCTGATATATATATATAAAGTCACTGAGGCTTGGACACTCCTGAAGTCATCTCTTTAGGAGCTAATCAATACTGTGATCAGCCTCACAGTGAAAAATTCAGCATGAAGCGATAAAGAGGTTGGGAGGGAGGGGAGGAGGGCATCTTCAGTCCTTAAACTAAACGTTTGAAGTGAAACAAAGGAGAAGGAGATGTGGCGTTGTGGCTCGTTGAGGTCACTTCAAGGTTTTATTCCCACAGGCCGGCGACTTTGCATCACCGCACGACCGTCAGCATTCACAATGAGCTTGTAAAAAAACGTTATTTTGTGCGCTGTTGTGTTCTTTTGCCCTCGTGGAGAAAGACTTTCAGGGTGAGCTTTGTGGCAGCGAAGTGCTCTAGATTTTAATGAGGTGTGTGGTGCTGCTATGTGTGTGTCCACTTGATCAGGCTCTAAATCAAAGTAAGACGGCCTTCAGCCTTTAAGTCCACAGCAGGTGATTGAACCTTTGATTTGACCCTCTAAACGATTGTTCAAATCATTTTAAACAACCCACAGCTTCTTAAAGCATATACATACTAACGTCGACGCTTTACACATCACATGGGCTCATTTACATTTCACTCCAGGCCGGGCTTTGCTCAGTCATCTATGAAATAGAGCTGGCATCCTCCATCACTACTGTAGTGTCATTACCTGCACCGCAGCAGCAGACGAGCTTCATGTCATCTACCTTCTTCACAGTCATCATTCAATTGCTGCCTATACCCTGAAATATATTGCTTATATGTCTATATTAAGTTTCTCCTGGGCTCCCAGATTCCGTGAATATGAGAGTCACTCTGAGGAGGAAGAGGTGAAACTAGAAGTCAACTGACAGATAATGATTATTCAGCTCTTTTGTTGATTTACCATTTTTTTCAGCCCTTCATTAAGCAATTCACCTGACTCTGATTCTCCAAGGTGAGGACTTGCAGTCTTTCTGTTATTTCAAGTTTGCACTGTTGGTTGGATAATATATATTGGAACACATCCCTTGGACTCTAGATTATCATACTGGTACTTTTTCATTATTGTTGACACAATGGGGGATAAAGTACTGCCTAGTCCTGACGTTTTGGATGTTCCTGAATAGACAAATCAGTTTGATGGAGAAAATAAATATTCATTCTTTTTTGGGGGGGGATGTTTGTTAGATTTTACAATTTGTAATGTGTTGATTTTAATGTTAAAATGTGAAAAGAAGATTCTAGGCATTTTGTCAGTCTTACGTCAGAGTCAGGAAGCAGGTCATCCTCATCGTCCATGCTGTAAGACAGACTGTTGTAGTCCTGCGTCTCAGCCAGCAGCTTCCTCTCCAGTGTGGAGCCCGGCCGGATGTCCACGAAGGTGGTCTCCAGGTAGTCTTTGCTGAGCAGGGAGTCTGTGTGGCCCCAGATCGGAGCTGATGGATAATAGGACTCCAGTGTGCGAGGTAAGGAGCAGGGGTCCAGTAGCTGCTGCTGCTGAAGCTCAGGAGGATGTCCACAATAGCTCCTCCACGCTAAAGGAGGGTAGGCCATGTCCTCCTCACATTTTACCAAGTAGCCCTTAAACATCCCACCAGGGGCCTGTCCAGCCCCAGGCCCAGGCCCTGGCCCGGACGCCCGGTTGTCATTGTGTCCTTCTCCCAGAAGAGGGTGCTCTAGCTCATCTAGATTCTCCATCCCTATCTTTTAACACCCAACACACAGGAGACCACCACATCAACAACACAAAGTAATCTACAAATTGGTCTGCAGAGCACCTCCCAGAAGAGTCTCAGCTGCTTTGCAGATTTTACTGTTTCACTGATAATCCATCTTTAATCCTGTTCTTAATTTTTTTTTTATCTTAGCCTTTGGGTCAGAGGTCACTAACACATGCCAGGTTTTATGAGCGAATATCCTTAATGTGTCCTGCGTGCTATGGGATGCGCTGAAGTTGCACGGGGTGATCCGAGAGCCTCTTTTCCTCACATGTCATGAGCTATTTTGTTCCCAGGATGGATGGCTCAGGATTTTTCCCAATGTCTTCAATTTCGTTTGATTGAGCCCCGTCAGTGTTCATGAATATGCTAATGTTAGCTATTTTCTTTCTCATGCAAAATGGAAATTTCAATTCTGATGATAGAAGACCTTGATTAGCCCAAGACAGGCCAATGAAAACACGTGGCAATGGGATTTTAGTTTGATTTGCCCTCATGGAAAGTTGCAAATAAAAAAAGATGAAGTATTAATTCATGCATAGAGTCATGGTATTGGAGGGAAAACATTAAATACCAATCTTCCCCTTCCACTGTTCTGGATGAAATGTGCAACGACTTGTAAGTTGAGAAACTGTCACACAGAGAAAAACAAAAAATGACTCTCAAGCTGTCATGACATATAGTGATATATTTGTTCCTCTGTAGGCATCTGAAAAAAGTGCTCAGCCACCGCTTCTTAAAACAGTCTAAAGGTAGTCGCCCTCAAACGACTGGCCGGATGCACAGTGGCGTTTTTCTGAAGCTTGAATATGTACAACCTCCAGCGGCAGTCGAACTAGTGGCGCAATGAAAGGATTGGGGCCATAATTGAGGGCAGTTAATCTGTAAAAGCAACGAGGCTCCAGAAATAGAATCCTATGGTGCACATCCGCAGGTCAGCGGGCCTGCCAACACGCCTGTTCCTCTGTTGTTTCAGCAGGAAGCAATAATGGAGAAATCAAAGTCCTTCGGTGTTGATTTCTGGCTTTGGGTTTTCTGAATGCCACAGCAGTGTGTTTTTAATGTACTCCATCCAGCTTTAAAAGGTTTCATTCAGGACAGACGTCAGAGAAGTCAGGCAGCTCTCGATCCAGTTCTCAGATGAGGACAAGGAGGTCTGCAAGAAGAAAAAAACAAGGTCACTCACAATATTTACACTCTCTGCACACGGCACTTTTTTTATTGTTTACCAAGGATAGTGTGTTACTAAGGATGCACACTGGACCAGAGAGGTTCTTTTCTTCACATACTTTATGTTACCAAGGCTATATGCAGAGGCGCTGCTTGTCAACAGGCAAGGCAGGCCACTACTTGGGGCCCCAGACCTGGAGGGGGCCCCCCGAGGGCTCACAAAATTAAACCAAAGCAGTAGCCAAAAATGTGATTTCTTTTTTTTAAACTCCAGTAGGAAACCTCCCTGACAGCACTCGCTCTCTTTCCCTGCTAGACGCTGCATGCATTATTCTTGTGAAGACCAAAGTTTATCAATGAAATCAACCAGTAAAAATGAAGAGGAATTATCAATCTATGGGAGAGAGACAGAAAGGAACAGGAAAAAAAGAGGAAGAGGAGTAAAGTGATTATTGCCAAGGGCTCCAAGCGACTCTAATATCGCCCCTAAACCTAACCAGACACAAGAAATATGTGCAAAGTGACCATTACTGTTTATATACACTGTTTATATAACACTTCTGACCTTTGTCACTGCGTCACTGAGATAACTTGTCTTTAACATGGTGACAAATATCAGTTTAACGGACAAAAAGTTGTCTAGGGCTCTTCGAGCAGTAAAAAGAAAGAAAGTCATGTTGTTATTTATTGACTCATATTTTCTTTTTTCTGCGGCCCACTTCAGCTTGAAATTCCCAGAGCCAAGACTCTCATTGGGAATCTCACCGTGGGCGTCGATAGATCACTATAAATAACTTCACAGGAGCAGAGTTTGATTTGAAATGTTGCCTATGGAGATTATGCTCACGAGCACACATGGGAAAATAAATGTACTCGCTGCAAGTTGTGTCTTGGAGCCTTCGGGATTGTTACATTTATTTTATTTTTTTTAGAAAAAGGGGGAGGGGGGGGGGATTTATCACTACAGCTCGCAACTGGTGTTGGTGAATTGCTCTTTTCGGTATAACAATCATTCTATCATATTTATAACAGAAGCTTTAAACAAAATATTAACCTAAAAACAAATGTTTTGCTTAACAGTGAACATCTTTTTTTTTCTCCAGGTGGAAGTCGAGTACAAATATTGTGATTATCAAAATGGACATGTAATAAACATTGTATTTCCAACTATTGTATTAATTGAGAAAGCTGCTCTTAACTACAGTTTTACACCAGTTTGAGATACTGGAGACTATATGGAATATAAAATCACCGTGTGATAGATTAAGACCATTTGGGTTGATCAAAAATCTTTCTTTTCTTCTACAGTTATTTTGATTTAAAGGATTAAACTGCTCTTTTAATCTGTGAGTCACTGGAGATGCTATGAATGCTTCACAGCAAAGAGGACTGATGCGATGATAATATTCAACTAATGCGAGGTATGTACCACTAGACCCCCTCCATCTAGTTATCACTTACAACACAGAGAAACAAATTCAACTGTTAAAACCAGTCATATCAATTATTTCCACATTATCAGTCACAGCCGAGTAAACACTTATTCTCAGGTGTGCAGTGGCTTATTAAAAAGTGCCTTACTGTCCACACTAAGCGAACAATTATCTAACATGCAAAGCACACTTTTTCCAGGAATTTATCCAGCGGTTATGAATTTCAAAACATCAATATTGTTTATAGTGTGGATCAAAAAAAATGCGTCCCTCTTGTTAAGTGTCGTAAACCAGAGCAGACGCATCAAGAGGCTGGTTTGGCAGTAAACCTTCAATCACTTCTAATTCTCTCAGATAAAACTCTTTTTAAATGACAGTTTACAAATTACACAGCAGTTGTCACTACCCTGTATTTATGCTTTTTGTTATGACCGAACAATACCACACTGGTTTGTTAAACATTGCAATGCAGGAAACTATTTGTCTTATATATTATTTCAGAGCAAAAATCAAAGTATATATATATCTATATATATACATAAATTACAAGATATTTGAGAGTTTTCACTGATAAACAAGAAGAGGTAAACGAGCTAGAGAATGTCCTAAAACTATTTTGCATGGGCGGTTGTCAACATCACACTGATAATAATAGAAACCATCATATCACAACAGAGAAAAACTGTGGGGGATAAAACAACTCAACGATGGCTGATAAAGAAGTAGAGAGCCCGTGTAGTGTCTGTAATGAACAGATTTTGTTTGCTGACGGACATATGATAAAGAAGGAAAAATTCACTTGTTATCAGTTGTTCAGGCATTGAAGATTTTTAACAGATATTTATAAACGACATCACATATGTGGTTTCAATTTTGACCTTGTGTCATACAAATTTGACGTGACATTGTTTTTTAAAATCTAATCAGCTTGATGTAAAGGTATGGTGACAGAATAAAAGTTGACCTATTCACAGTGTAGCCTACCCTACTTCTCACCTACGGCATGCTGGGATAAGCTCCAGCGCCCAAAGATAAGCAGCTTAGGAAGTGGATGGCGGGTTGGACATATGCACCTGATTACCCTATAACATAGACGCGATAAGTGACTTAAAACATAACCCAGAAGTGTCAGAGGACGTAGTTAAATTCTTATACAACTGACTTTCATATATCCCAAACCGAGAACATCTAAAATTAGCGCACTACTGAGAGGTGGAGACAGGCTGCTGTGTGAGCTGACAAGTGAGAAGAGATGAAAAAAAGAAGCCTCTGTGTAGTGTGTGAAGGGTATTTTCATTCTGGGTGGGATGCATCTGAAAGTGTCATTTCAACTAACTACATAATATCTCATCAGTAAGTATTCATTCTGCATGGCAGCGTGCTTCACAGGCATGAAGGCACTCGTTGGCTCGTTGTTGCATGCTTCACTGCACAGCACAGGCAAAAAAAGAAAAGAAGAGAATAATTGGGTGTCTTTGGGCTCACATGGTGCTGAGGGTTGCAGTCTTCTCTGTGCGCTGATACTGCCTCTCTGAGCAAACCCCCCTCCACTCACCTCCTCCTTCACCCACCCATTTATGTGGGGCTAGTGCTTCTCATACTGAACAAGCTGAGTGATCGTTCAACACACTGACGTCAGCAACAGCTCCCAGCAAACTGCCTCCCCCTCATAACACACACACACACACACACACACACACACACACACACAGCTGGACATATGGTGCATAGTAAAGCACATACAGTGGTCACTCACACACTTACATGTGTAGCACTTCTTTAGCATTCTCCCTCTATTCTGCTCTCCTCCAGATCGCTGCAGCTTCATTTCAGGAGAGATGCACTCAGCTTTATTACACCCCCCCCCCCCCTCCCTCCCTCCCTCCCTGCACCTCTGCCTATCCACCATAAAAAGACTTCTGTCAGCTGTATTATAAGCCTGCCTCTTTTTCTGATTCTTCAACGCTCATAAAACATCCAGTCAGGTAGAGGGAAGGTTGCAAGGACGCCGCTGCAAATCACCGCCAACACTTTTAGAAGAGCTACTCTTCTCTCCCTCCCCTATCTCTCTCCTTTTAAGTCTGATGCTTTGTCATGCACACACACAACCACACATTCACTCAGCTCCAGTTTCTTACCCTTCTTCTTCTTCAGTTTTTTGATCAAACTCCCTACCTTTTTCACATTAAGCCAATACTTTCTGCAGAGTCACTGTACTAAACTTAAAACATGGGTTTAATTTGACTTGCTGCAAGAAAAGAATTCTTGTTCTTTAGATATGGAAATGTGCAACCAAATCCCTGCTGCAAAGCAGTTTCCTGCTGCTGACTCTGACACTGTAGAATATCAGTAACTCTTGTGTTTTTTCACACACACACTGATTCTGTCTCTCAGCATATGAACACAAACACAGATAAACGTAATTGCTGTACTATTTCAGCTGCCACAGATTGAAGAGATGCAGATCAGTGAAACTCAAGAAGAAAAGAAATGGCATAGTGGCTGCAGGAAATTGGAGCTGCACATGCTCAGTCTCTAATGAAAAAGACATCTTGAAGAACAGCGATGTCGAGGCTGATAAGACCAGAGCAGGCTTTGAGTTATGTCAAACAAAAATCTGAAAAGCCAAGTGGGGGTTAAATGTCCCTGTTGATTTGATTTCCAAAGGCTTTTCTTGCTCGCCGTCTCTGTTCCTTGATCTGTGTGGAGTGTCTTACAAGAGCAGAGAAAAAAACGGAACAGGAAAGATAAGCGAAAAAAAAACAGGCTGAGATGTAGAGTGCGTTGCACAGCTCGTGAAGCCCAAAGTAACATCATGTTCCTATGGAAACAAATTCACCATTGAGTGGAGTGCTCACTGCAGGATAAATGAAGCAGAGGCTAATTTGCCATTTCAGTTCTGTTCCTCTGCTAAGGTTGATAATAACTAGATGGGATAATTCTAGCGCAGCCATGCCTTCCAGTAAGGATGTGTTACTGTCACATTAAACAGCAAAGGATGGATAATTTCCTCAGAATTACCCTATAATAACAAATGAGTGCAGTCACGCCAGGCGCTGGGTTAACTTGAACAACCCCCCGGTGCAGAATGTGTGTTTGACAGTGTTAGCGCATTATGTAGTGGACTGTGTGTCTGCTCTCACTGCACACACACACACACACACACACACACACACACACACAGTAATTTATTTTCCAACACATGCCTACACATGCAATCATAAACACACATGCACTCCTTTGCAGCATTGCATCATCTTCCCCCTTCAGACAGTAAAATAGAAAACAAACCCTGTGAAACGCTCCATTCCCCTACCTCCTACATGCTCACATACATAACTGCAAATATCATACGCAAGCTGACTTACACACACTCACACATACACACACACACACACACACACACACACACACACACACACACACAGATAGTGCTTGTGTGCAACGAGGCCCATGAAATGAGGATCTGCAATATGTTGAAAATGGATCTCTGCAGTGTTCTGTTATGTGCATCTGTGGACACACATGGGACATACGCGTGCGACTGACTTGAACTTTTCTGTTGTTTGTGTAGTCATGCATGAGCTTATGTATGTGTGTGCGTGTGTCACATGTGCTTCAGTGTCTTTTACAGCTGCAACTCAGTTTGCTATTCTCCCCGGGTTTACATGTATCTATGGATGCATGCGGATGTGTCTGCGTTAAAAGCATTTCAACATGTGAGATGAGGTAGCTGCTCGTTGTATACACATGTAACAAACAGCGCATGTATCACAGAAGAGATTTGATTTGATCCGCATATATGGCAATCATTTTTGTCCGTCAGGATTTGCACGATTTACACCAGTTTCATTCCTCAGATCTGATGACTAAACTTACAAAAAAGTGCATATTTACAAAATGCAAAACAGACATTCGTGTAGAAAGATTTTAAACAAACCTCAAGTGTTTGCACGTCGTCATCCTAACTAATTACAAAAAATAAACAAAGGCAATGATTAGTCCAAGTAATAATTACTTGAGATAGTTCATTTTTGTTAAAACTTTCAACACGCTGCTATAATCCTTCATTGTTTCAATCACAAAATGACGGCCAAAACTGAAAAATAAGATAAGTATGTGGGTCCATTATTTTACACCACATACATTTTTAAAAACATCTAATTCTAGTTATTTGTTATTTAAGTCTGTGCTAATGTATGTGTAACCATGACATGATTTTAAAAAACAGCCATGATGCCTAACAAATAGTTAACAGGTGCAATATCAAGGCTGTAGGTTTCATCTGACCCGACCCACCAGCTGAGAACCACTGATCTATGCTGTGTTAATATCAGCCCGGTTGTGTTATGAGTTATGTGTGCCTGCATGTGTTTATCACCGTGTGTGTGTGGTGTGTGTGTGTGTGTGTGTGTGTGTGTGTGTGTGTGAGAGAGAGAGAGAGAGAGAGAGAGAGAGGGAGAGTGCTGGTACTAATCTCAAAAATCTGTTCACACACATAAATTACTTGTGTTTACTTAATCTTAAAAGAGTACTCAGGCTAAGTTTGGTGTACAGGATTAAACTTTGAAAGTGCCAGTTATGGTTAAGGTCAATAAAAGTCTTATCTAACAAACACGAATCAATACAGTGTCCTCACAAATAACCAAAACAAGTGTGTGTGTTATGGTACGTATGTAGCGACTGAGCTCAGTGAGGTAATTAGCCCCCCATAGATCTTTACATGAGCAATGATGTATTACATGGTCTCATGATCATTACCACAGAGGGAGGGCATATGTGTTGGCATCTAATTTACAACACACACACACACACACACACACACACACACACACACACACACACAGCACTGTACAGCACAGGGGTGGTAAGTGTAAGGAAAACACCTGCTGTTAATCAGGAAAGCTCACCCTGCATGTCCTTTGAAAGGACTCAAAATGTCTCTTTTCCTACCTCATCCTGACACACATTTTAGATTTCACACTTAAATAACTGATCTTCCAAATGGATTCCGCAGAAAGCTGTCCATACCTCAAGTTTTTAAAAAACATAACAAAAGATGAAAATGTGGGGATGCGGTCCTTTTCCGGCTTCAGTATTGCTGCATAAGGAAAGCGTGGTTTTGTATTACAGCACTCCCGGCTTGTCTTACAGCAGAGCAATACACAAACATGAACATTGGAGCAGAGCTGTGTGTGTTTGTGAAAAAGAGCTTTTTGTTGTTGTTGCTGTTCTACTCTGACGCAGCACAGCCTCCATTCAATATTTCAAAAATCTACATGCAAATTAGAGATATTAATTTACATTTTAAGGAATACTCAGAGCAGAAGAGGTCTCCTGCTGCAACGAATCTGATAACAATCTGGTCCTCTTTTTCAGGTCACTACTGTGACTGAGCGGTTAATATGTCTTAATTGTTCAGAAACCGATTCTGACTCCTAAACAGAATAAATAAATCCAAGTTTCAAAATATTAGCCTGCATGTTAAAATATTTTTTTAAATGTCAGAACTACAGTACTGAAAATCACACTTGACATAGATCATTTCTGAAGAAAAGATGCATTTGCTGCAAACTGCAACATCATCTTGAGCAGAGAATTGAGCAGTGTAAACATTTTATACATTTGATGTTATCGATACTATTCTTTTGGTGACTATTGGTGACATATTTGGATGTCGAAGCTTTCTGCCAAGAGGTTGTCAGCACCTCACAGTTAATAAATTATTAGCCAGAAGGATTAGGATTAGAGTTACCATACCTACACTAGCTGGCAACATGGTCCCATTTTTGGTACCTCTATACCTTTCCTATTCCTGTTCCTTCAGAATATGCACATTTGAGATACTGATAATCATATTCACTTGGCCATCATTAATCAGGATTTATGTTATTATTAATAACAAATGTTTTTTTTTAACCTCATTGTTAACACTAGGTGTACTCAATAAATATCCAGAATTAAAATTCTGTGAGCATTTTTTTTATTGATGTGTAGGATCTGAAAGGAGCAAAGATGAACGTGTTTGCTGCTTTAAATCATTTTTATTACAGTTAATACCAGTTTTATGGTAAACCAGAAGGTTCAAATTAAGGATCGTATAGGCCTACGTGCATATTATTGCTTTTTAAATGTTAATATTCTAAAATTCCCCATGCAGGCTATAGCCTATTTCCGTACCCCTGCCACAGTGAGGGATGAGATGAGGTGGGAAGGAGACAACAACAGAAAGGGGACATAATCTGAATCATTGTTAAATTGTCAAAAGAGACAAAAACACACAAAAAAACGTCAAATTAAATGCAGTATATTCGTCCCTGTTCATGGTTTATATCTGCTTTCTCACCTTCACGTCAGAACCTGGAGCTTTCCTCGGGATGAGTCCTCCGAGAAGAAACGAGAAGATCCAGCGTCCCAGTTATTGCATCCACAGGATTCTGCCACACACACGGATCCACTGATGGCTTTCGATTACCGTGGGCATGTGCAGAAGAAGTGTGTGTTAGTGAGTATCCCCTTTTTGTCTAAAATGTGACAGATTGTGTATCCCACATGTGTTTTTATGAACAGTCAGTCAAACTAGTTTTCCCCTCCGTCGAGCTGTGCTGATTCGGCTGTGGACGCGTACAAATGCACCCGTACACCTGTGCAGGGTGGCATCAGGATTGTGCATGCTTTGTCAAAGACTCCCCTTCCCCTCTGCACAGCAGCTCCTCTCGCATCCTCCTCGGCTTGCTCTCTCCTCCTCTCTGGAAGGAGAAGGTCTTTTATTAATCCTCGTTGCGGTTGCAGTTCATCTTACGTGGTGTCAACTTTCTTCTGCCACTCTCAGCTTTTTCTCTGACTTTTCCAAATGCAGCCCTCTTCTCTACTCCTTTCCGTCTCTCTCTCTCCCTTTTTTTGCCTTTTCTCAGCTCTGCTACCTTAATACGGCAGATACACTGGGTCCTAGAGCCTGTTAGGTGTGAGCCTGAGCTTCTTCTAATTACTCTGAGGTCCTCTTAAGGACAGAGGGAAGAACGCACATATGCTGCGTAAAGACATTTGCCTTTTCTTCCTCTTTTAAGAGGATTAGTAAGGTCAGGGCTTGATTTTGGGTTGGAAGTGTGATTGGGTTTAATGCTATGGGATGTAACAGGGGAGGGTTAAGGTTAGCTGTAGCAACACAAATGTGTGTGTTTATTTGGATGCCAATGGATATTAGGATTCTGGACAAGCTGCAAATGTAATATCCGCAGTGTGCTGAAAGGTGCAAGTGTGAGATTTAAATCGTGTTGAGGCAAACACAAAAAAATGGACGAAGGCAGCCATCAAAACAGAAATGTATTGCGAAAAATAACCAAGGGAGGTGGAGAACAAGGGGGGTTGGTGTTATGCATTTGCTTTGTGTGTGTGTATGTACCAGAGCGAAGGCAGTGATATGCCCCCCAGCAAGGATGACTCCACTTAGTGTCAGCCCTTTCATGCCTGCTTCACCCTATGACCCACTTTAAGCTGCCTGGGCCAGCCCACATTAAGATCTCTAGTCAGAAATAGACTCAAGATGCAAAAAACAATCATCCCTGCTCCAGGCTCACGCTCATTTCGCCTCTTTTAGAGGAGGCCAAGCTATGAAGCTCAAGCATTGCTGGACACCAGCAATCAATGCAATCCACAGGGCTTACCCTGAGTATTTAATGAGGTGCTCTGCTCTAAGCTAGAATCACCCTCCCCTCCAGAAGGTTTAACCTTTAGGCATGTTTTTTTGTTTTGTTTTTGTTGATCTTGTGTTCTGTGCTTTCCAGTTATTCAGCACAGCCACAAATCTGTTCATCTGATGCTCCATTTGTCTTTGGCTGTCAGAGTGACAAGCATCCTCTCAGTCCATCATGAAGCAGGGATCAATACACTCTCCTTATTCTCAGCACATCCTCCCCCATCACTCTCTTTTTTTTTTGCATCCTCCTCCCTTTTCTCTCGTCCTCTCCCCTTTAGTCTTCAATTTTCTCTCTCAATCGGCCAATGCCTCCATCTCCCGCTTCTGTCTCCATCTTCATCTCTGTTTACTTCTTAGCTGAAGCATGCAGAGTAAAGGGCAGGGGAAGAGATAGAAGAATTGATTAGGTGGGGGATGGAGATGGGGACACTAATGATATAGCTCAGGGTAAGACCAATGTTCATCTTTGTTCTTGTGACACTGATATTGTTCCCAAAATACACAATCAATGTTGTCAGACCTCTGCTATGACTGAGGTTTTGACCACAAATAATAAGAACGGACAGTTAAACCTGCAGTCTCATTTCTTGTTTCTAGTTTTTCAACTTTGAAATGCAGGTGACGAGATTTAAAAAACACTAATATGACTGACCTCACCTTTAGGATATCTTTAACAGCTTTTTCTGCACTCACATGTTGTTGTATTATGGAGATTCTTAAGTTAAACTTGAGGACAGTTTCACTCAAAGGCAATTTTCAACAAATGTTGTGTGGGTGTATGAATAGTGTTGATGGTAAACATCGTTAATTAATACAGTTAACCCTTTTGCAGATTTTTTTTTTTGGGGGGGGCGGTGGGGGGATAGAGTGTAGGAAACCGGGGGGATCGAGTGGGTAATGACATATAGGAAAAGAGCCAACTAGGTCATCTGCCCCCCCCCCCCCAAAAAAAAAAAAAAAAAAAACTGTTAAATGTGTCCTTGTCCAGCTTCATCAATGTCTTTCAGTCTTTATTCGATTCTCGGGTTAACAGATACAAGGTTAGCTGTAGCTCAGTCTGTAGAGACTTGGGTTGGGAACAAGAGGCATTGGGGCTGGACTGGTTTCTGAAGACAGACCAGTTTACTCCCTGAGCACTGCTGGGGTATTTTCTCTTTAGGCCCTTTTATGAACAATACAAATCCACAAAATATTTGAACAAAGGAAAAATGGAAAAATACAAAACAGCCTTACACTTAGTAAACAGGAAAACCATGTAAACAATGGTTGTGCTTAAGAACACACACACACACACACACAACAGAAAGTCCCCCATCCTGGAAAGAAAAACAGTCAAAAAAACATTCATATTTTAGAATTCTAGTTCAGCTTTAAGTATTTGGGTCTGTGTAGTCTGTTGTTGAAGGTGCATTTAACCTGCACTTAATCTATTTCAGAGGGAACGTGCCTCACATTGGGAGAGTATGGATTGACGTGCGGTAAAGTGCCGAGGGTTTGGAGTCGAAGGTGGGCCCCCTCGAGGACTGCAGGCTCTGTGCATAAAATAACTACAAGCCTATCTGGAGCCCTTAGCTGTTTGTATTTTAACAGTTTTAAAATCTCTGTCTCTCCATAAAACAAAAGCAATCACAGAGCTTGAACCCTACATGCTGAAAATGTTGGGTTTTAATAAAGATTTGGATTGCGCAGTAAGGCTTTATGGCTTCTATCTTCTATCCTTTAATGTTTCATGTGGTGTTTTCCCTTGCAGGGATTTTGCTTTTTTTTTAATGCCAGGGCTCACCTTACCCCGTTTAAATGTTTCACCAAAACTAATCCCCTTCAATCATAGGAACAGCACCCATTCTTCAAGTTTCGTTTAAACTTGTTATGAAAAAGACTCATATTCAACTGATGCCTGCATGTGACCTAGTAAACAGACCATCAGAGAAAGATTGACTTTAAGATTGAGTTATTTTTAATGCCTGTGACCTCTGCCACTGGGTCAGATGAAAGCATGCAGCAGCCCTATAGTCTTTTTTAAAACATATTTTCCACAGTAAAGGTTCACTGTTTGACTGATAAAGACAGCAGAATTAACTTTCAGATTATGAAACAGTGCTTACACATGTAGAGGACAGGATCAGCAAAGGGGACTTATCACTTTGTCCCAGTGGCGTCTCCAAGATCAACACAAAAAAAAACATCTACGGGGCACATGATGTAACCGCTATGGCTATCTAGTGCCCCTTGGATTTTTCAACTTCTTGTGCCTTGCCTCTCCCTGAGTCTGATGTTGAAAGAAGTGTCACCAGACGAGAATAAGACTCTTATCGCCTTACCCGCCAATCATTTTCACAAGCCGCTTTGAGAATAATGAGCTAACTGAGGATTGAGACAGCTTCTGGGTGAAAAGGCATCGACCACCTGGCATTGAGATAACAGACGTCACACGCAGAGGCGACCAAGCCAGTGTGATATCAGATTCTTAAATGAGGTTCAATAACAGCATCCTTGATGAGATGAAAAACGCTGCAGGCAAAAACAAAAAAAAAAACAAGGCTTGATATTTTAAGCAAGCCTGTGTTTTCCCCTTTGGTAGCGCTTGGGCTGCAACATTTCTACTTGAATGGCCACCTCAGCAAACGCTGTAAAGGAGGAGGGGGGGGGGGGGGGGTAGTATTAGCAGAAAGCCTGAGGTGCTAAGTCGTTCAATAGAGAAAACACAGCTAATCCAATACTCGCTGTGGAGAGAAAGCAAACCACGTTGGAAATCTAAAACAGTTATTAAGGGTTGAATCTGTGTGACTGGTGGTTGACAGATTTAATTTTATCAATTCAGTTATCAAACTATTTTTTCTGAATAGATAAAGGTGCTCTTCTGTCAAACCTGCTGTTCTCTCTTTCCTCCTTTCTTCTTCTTCTTCTTATTGATATTTAACAAAGATGTAATCTATTATCCCCGTTACACACCAGAGATAACAAGAGAGTTTGTGTTTGCCAAGCACTTTGGGCAAAATGCAAATACAGCCATTCAATCTCCCGTCTAGGCTGCACACAGCTGATGTGAGCTGGTTTGTATGTATGCGTGTGTGTGTGTGTTCTGCAGTGGGGCTGGGGTTTACGCACCACTACAGGGGAAATGCCGCCTTTGTGCTCTCTGCCTCCCTGAAAAACAATACACGGAGGAAGTCGGGGGCTCATGACTCTTTCATTTTTTTTTTCCATGAATATTCTCTCCCCCACTTTCTGCCTCTGGAGGCCTGAATTATTTATCTTACATAAGGAAAGAAATGCTAAGGGAAACAAGGACAATCAAAGGGAAATAGCTCAGTGTGAGATTCCCAAACACATCCACACACACACGTTCACAGTTTCGGCTCACCCCCTAACCCACACATAAGCAAATGTGTTTATTTAAATACACTCAAACACACAAATACATTCTTGGTTTTTCTATTTCTGTATGTGCTGGTTTGGTAAAAAGGGTAGACCTGAGTAAGAACAGAGAGAGAGAGAGAAATATGTGGAGAAGAAGAGTAAGGATGTTTCTTGGGAAAGAGATTGTTTGTGTAAGTAAATTTATTACATGGCAAGCTGGGTGGGAGACAAAACATGATGCACTTATGAGGAGCAGAGTTTGGCGACCAACAAGTCAAAACAACAGCTAGTTTGGATGTAGAAACTTCCTGCAGGATTAAAGGCTTTATATGTGATTTTTCACACTTAAATATAATAGAAATCAAGTATATCATAACTCTGTGAGTCATGACTGTCTACAATGGGTGTAACACCCGAGTCCCACTGTCTGTGATGTTTTCAGAGTTTTCAGAGTCCTATCTTCAGTTTGTTTACATCGCCGGACGGCCAGCTGACTCCTCCCCCCTTGTTTAATTGAGGGACTAGAGAAAAGAAGAATAACATACTGTACTCACTGCTTAACTGTGTTTCTAGATCACGCTCATTTCAGGTAAATTTACATGCAGTGTGAAGATACCAGCATAATAAAGATCGCTAGCATTAGCATGCTAACACAACAATGCAGCGCGAGTTGTTTTGGTTTCATGCTGGTGCTCAAGGGCGACATCTGCTGGATCAAAAAAAAATTGCATATAAAGCCTTAAATGTTCATCATTATGAAAACTAAGACACTTGAGATTTAAGTAAAGTATTTATGGAATCAAAAGAGTCCTGAAGTAAAAAATATCCATCGAT